CGGCTTTCGTCCACCCGATCCCTAAAAAGGCGACCGCTCAGACCCGTCCAACTACCGGCCTATCGCCATCACCTCCTTGTTCTCCAAAACAATGGAGTTCATTGTAAACTGCCAGCTCATGAGGTACCTTGAGGATCACCAGCTGATTAGTGACCGCCAATACGGTTTTCGCCGTGGTCGGTCAACTGGTGATCTTCTGGTCTACCTAACTCACAGATGGGCGGAGGCAGTAGAGTCCAAGGGGGAGGCATTGGCCGTTAGTTTGGACATTGCGAAGGCCTTCGATCGGGTTTGGTACAAAGCGCTTCTTTCGAAGCTCCCTTCTTATGGGCTTCCCGAGAAATTGTGCGACTGGATCACCAGTTTTCTTACAGATCGGGGCATCAAGGTCGTTGTAGACGGCGCAAGCTCCGATTGCAAGCCTATTAATGCTGGTGTTCCACAAGGTTGCGTGCTATCGCCAACGCTGTTTCTTCTGCATATCAATGATATGTTGCAAGCCCGTAACATTCATTGCTATGCAGATGACAGCACTGGTGATGCTCTTTACACCGGCCGAGCCAATATTTCTTTGGAAAACGTCTCCGAGTGCCGGGACAAACTTGTGTCTGAAATCGAGTCTTTGCTGAACAGAGTCTCGGATTGGGGGCGACTAAATCTAGTCCAGTTTAACCCCAGAAGACACAAGTTTGCGCGTTAACCGCTAAAAAGAACCCCTTTGTCCTATCTCCTCAGTTTCAAGGCACTCCCCTTGTTGCCTCAGTCAGTATCAGAATCCTCGGCGTCGACATATCGAGTGACGTGCAGTTTTGTGGTTACTTGGAAGACAAGGCCAAATTGGCCTTTAAAGAGCTTGGCGTGCTCAGCAGAGCAGGACAGTATTTCATGCCGGCACACCGCCTGCAACTTTACAAGGCGCAGATTCGGCCGCACATGGAATACTGTTCCCATCTCTGGGCTGGGGCTCCTCAGTGCCAGCTTCTTCCACTTGACCGCATCCAGCGCAGAGCGACTTGAATCGTCGACGACCGAGTGCTTTCCGATCGGCTTGATTCCTGGCACTGCGAAGAGATGTTGCATCTTTTTGCATTTTCTCTCGCATATACCATGGAGAGTGCTCTGAGGAATTGTTCGGATTAATCCCAGCCGTCAAATTACGTGAACGCGACAAACGTCTCGATACCATCCACACCATCTGGATGCTTGGCGGTCCACCACTGTACGTTTCAAAAGGAGTTTTCTTCCGCGTACAACCTCTCTGTGGAATAGTTTACCACCGGCGATTTTTCCGGACCGATACGACCTGGGGACCTTCAAGAAAAGAGCTTACTCCTTTCTAAAGGGCCGGCAACGCACCTGCAATTCCCCTGGTGTTGCGGTTGATCATGGGCGGCGGCAGTCACTTAACATCAGGTGAGCAGCATGCTCGTTTGCCCCCCTCTTCTATAAAAAAATTAAATCTTAACACTTTATGGGGAAACCTATGTTCAGTAGTGGGCTTTCGATAAGCTGTAATGGTAACGATAATGGCTTTGAAGTTGGCAGAAATTGCAAGGAAGGAACCCAGAAGAATTTCAAGGCAGAAAAGAGCTTTACTTAATTTTTCCCTGTGGGTTATGATTATACGATGCGGCAATGTATTAATGACAAGAGAAAATCAGATACCTCATCTCGTTTCGTATTAGATTGGTAAGAAAGAAAAGGTACGAAAATACCAAATAGCGATTTGTAATGATCGCTATAACGAAATCCTCACAATGACTACGATCAATGAGAGATGCGTAACTAATAGTTGGGTTGACTATAGACTTCCGGTACTTGATTTTAATAATGTTTTCAGTTTAGGAGGCTTGTAAGGCTTGAACCTATTATAGTGTTTTTACATATCGGAAATTCGTTTTGAATTAATTACGATATACATAAATTTCACTAAAAATTGCTTATAACGAAACGCGAATATTCAATTTGGTCTAGTATTATGAAGTAGACGTCCATTAGTAGTAGTAGAATTTTAATGTACAGTGTTTTTGGATTTCGAAAACGTCTTTTGAATTATTTACGATATAAAAAAAATCACTAAATATTGCATGTAACGAAACACAATCAATATTTTTTTACACGGATACACCTATAAAAAAGTTAATCATTCGGACCCAGACAATCCATTTGTGGCTGAAAACGGGACTCATATACAACAAATTGAGTCGCAGTGGAGAGCAGTCAAGAGGTTTTTCAGGAAACAAAATTACGAGTATAACAATTCACATTAGATTGTTTCATTTACCACTATCACAGCAGAGTTTAGGGCAACCTGACTTTATAGATAAGACTGGTCAAATCAAAACGGAATCAGCACGCCCCTTACTTCTACTTCACATAGTCTTTTCTGCCCTACTCCTAGAGTATTTTTGTAAAGCCGTAGGCGCGGAGGGAGAGCAGCCTCCGTTCGCTGTAACCTGCACCACCTGTATTTTTTTTCATATTTAATTGTTATCAGGAAAAAGCGGCTGCCTACTCCCTGCTTCAGACTCCTTCCGTCGGCATCTTACCACAGATTAGTGAATAGTTTACCAAATCTTACGACACCCACGGGACGATATAAGGAAGTGGATATTCTTACACCGTCATTACACGGCCAATGTAAGGCAATCTATGTAGAGGCATACGTTCATAAGCTGTAATGGAACATATTTGTTGACGCGAAAATTCCGTAGGCCTAAGCATGGAATCTTTTACATTTATAGGACTTACCAATCGGATACTGTATATCACACATCTCCACATCTATGTGACCTCTTACTATTGCAAGGTAATATTTCTTGGTCAATCTCTTCTCGAACAATTTACCAGCACTAGCTGCTGCGGTTTTGGTCAAAGCTATGCAGAGGATGCCACTGGTCGCGTAGTCTAGACGTTGCACGAAGTGTAGTGGGTTGGCCGAATTCGCGCGATGAGAATCGTGCAAGGCTATGTGACATGTCACTGTGTTCTATAACAAAGTAGCGCGATATCAGATTTACAATTAAACGCAACTAGTTACAAAGATTTCTAAAATAACAAGATTTACAAATCTGATCTGAGTTCAGACCACGTTTCAATAATCATTTGCCGCGATGACGGTGTAAAAATATCTAGTAGAGACGGTGTAAAAATTCTCATAACACGATTTGGACAGGCGTAGCTATCCTGTACCAGCGTTGGGAGCTTGATGACTTCTTATTTTTTCTTATATTTATTTGTTTATGCGAATATTACATTAATTTATTTATTAATTTAATGATGTTTTATTTTCACGACGTCCTAATCATAATAATCTAGGGCATCGTGAAAATAAACTAGGTAGATTATCAACCACATTGGCGATATGTTGAAGTTCCAGAAATTATTTTTAAGAGAAAGTTTAGAGACCAGAGTACCCTTAATGGACGAGCATGCATGCGTATATGGATATGGATGTAAAGAAGACGAGAGAGGTGTGTCGTATAGTGCCAAATTTATTTTCAAACAGTAAGATTTATGAGCCGTGACAAAATGATCAATTCTCTTGACGATCACTATAATAAATCGATTAAGTAATAAAATCGATTAAATTAATCGCTTCTTCTCCTTATACTACTGCTTTTTTATGAGGTGGTTATATTATAAGGTGGTAAATATGTAATCTTAGACCATTCAACCCAATTCATTTGGATTGAATGATCTAAGTAAATGATGCCTGATGTCTTCTCTGTGGACAGAATACTTTTGTCTATGAGTCGGAGTTTTGGCTGAAAATTGATCGCAGATGGATTGTTGCTCCTGTTTTAGTGTTTAAATAATAGTTGAAGTAATTTTGATACATAAAAATGATGCAATTTTGTGTATTAAGTGTTGGCGCATGTGAACTATTAGAGAAAATGACGAAACAAGTGCTTCGATGTTGATATAAACATCAAGTTATTTTCATCGCTTAGACGCTTAGGGTTGAGCTGTCGTCAGAATCTGCCAAAAACTTCGTAATGTGACGCATCAGCATATTGTGGGAAAAATAATAATTATAAAAAAGAAGATCCCGAATGAAATGAAGACATGGTTAAAAGACATACGTCCAAGCTAAAAATCTTAATAAAAAATGTCTACCAGCTACGAATCTGTGGTTGTGATAAACTTCTCTGTCTACCTGTCTACCATTTATTTATCTCTGGTAATAAAAATAAATAAAATAACCTTAAAAATTAGTAAATAAAATAGAAAATACAAAAGAAATAGGAAATTTACCTTTTCCTTTTCGTCATCTGAATTAATAAACATATCGTAAGGTTTATTCACCACAAGAAATTGCTCACTTTCATACAATTTTACTATCGCCATTATTTATTTCAATCGCGCGAAAATTAAAATGATACATTTGGCGTCGATTTAAATAAATAATATGTACTCTTTAACTCCAAACTTTGGAATTAACGTTTTACTAAAATTTTGTGATGATGGCAAAAATGTTAATACTGTTGGACAAAAATGCGACAAGAGCGATTTGAACGTTACTTGTATAACTCGATCCAGGCATCCGCTCAAAAACTCCTCAATATGCATTTCGTCGGTTTTTTTTAAGTTTGTTATTTTAATATACATTACAATTTCTAATGACCTAGGCTAACTACCTATGTACAATCATTTTCCTTACTGATATTTTAATGTCAAATTTGTCAATAAAAAATAAGTGAAAAAGAATTCCAGACAGGTTAAATATGCTACCTATTTCAAAACTTCAAAAAAATGTTTTTACATTCTGAATCATTCTGAATCTGAACCACAATTCTGAACACTTTTCTAAACGTCAAAAGTGACAGGATTTTTTAGAGTATTATCCTACCAAATTAAAAAGAAATGCAAATGCTTACATTTTTATACGAAACACCAAACAATTTTTATTTCAGCATATAATTTTATTATAAGTTGTTTTGTTTCGTTGAAACTTTTTTTTTCGCTAAGTATTTAATTAAAAATATTCAATAACCAATATGAGACGAGTAAAAAGACATAAAGTGAAAGAAGAGCAGCCTGAAACCTCTACCTCTATTCGTGATAAAGAAGAACTTGACTTAACTTACTACATACATGACAGAGTGGAATTAATGCACCAAGTTTTCTCTGTACTAAAAGCTAAGGAGCTAAAAGCGATGGCTCCACGATGTGTGCAATATATTTCCATAAACGATTTACAAGAGTTGTGTATGGAAGAGGTATGTAAAATAAGATTTTTGCACAGAAATCCGTTTGGGTTGATACACCACTAAGTGAGTGATACCAAGTGTCAATTACAGACTAATTATTATGAATGAAGATATTTTATCTTTAGCAACAGCCTCTGTATCTGGGAAGGAATATTCCTTGGAATGAAAACTTATTGATGTTCTCTGTAGTTTTATTCCTGGAAATGGAATCCATGCAAAGTTTTGGACCCAGAAATTATTTGTTTTACTGATATTTGTCCTAAACACATATGTTATTGTGAGGAAGCTAGCATTACTGAGAAATTAAAAATATATGGGAGCATGTGAAGACACTTCCTTGCCCTGATAATCCTCTCAGAAGTCAGGCTTTAGTAACGAGGAGGCTTTAATAAACTAAATTTTAATAATTCTGTTAATAAGACACCCAAATAAATACTTCTACACATAGATAAAGTAAGTAAAGTAAAGTTACAGCCTATATACGTCCCACTGCTGGCCACAGGCCTCCCCTCATTTCTGAGAGAGTTTTAGGGCAAGGAAGTGTCCCAATGCGTGTTGGCGAACTTCACATGATTTTGAAATATTTTTTTGCCTTATTCCTCAGATATGCAGGTTTCCTCATGATGTTTTCCTTCACCGCCGAGCACGTGGTAAATCAGCACTTAAAATTGCAATTAACAATTTCATTGGTGCTGGCAGGGATCAAACCCGGGATTCGCGTTCTGTTATATTTACAGCGAGTGTTAACCATCTGAGCTACCACAGCTCCTTCTACACATAATATTATACCTGTGGAAGAAAAACTGTATTACAACTGTGGATCATGCGGGTATGTAGTTGACACGATAAATATGCCACACAGTTGTATTTTCATTTACAACCATTACTTTTTTTAGGCGATTATAAAATAAAGTAAAACATTTTCATCTGAAATAAATAAAAATAATGACAGTGTTTTCTTAGTCACATAAGAAATCAGTGTTAGAATTTCTTAAACAATGTTTGCGGTCAAAAGAAAAAATTAGTCTTCCTACCTCTTTGTAAACAACAAAATGAGTTAAGGAATTGACTGTAACCTAGTGCTCTTATAGGTGTAGAGCCCATCATAGTATACGTAGAAGTCTTTGCACCCAAATTCAAATTCCGCCATAACCCCCCCTCCCTCCCTCTCCCTAAACTTTACGTAACACTCAAATGACCATTTTTACCTAAAAGTTACAATTATGTTGTGCAAAGTATTGGAAAGTGGCTGACATACCTTTTTTTTCCGTGGCCTTGAACTCTTGTATAACATCATTTATATGTTCTATAAGCATTTATTTATTTTTAGGTTTTCTTTAGCCATTTTCCAAATTTCATTGGCATTTTTTGGCAAAGTTGTAAATGCAAATCTCCCTCTTTTGAGGACATTACAGTATGAACTAACTTTAACAACAATGACTACAGCAATGTGCGTAAACACTGAAAAATACTGACAATGAAAAAAAAATTAAATGCTGTACAAACAATTGAGGGAATCCCCGTAAAACATAAACGAAAGGGTTGTTCAAGGTTTGCCAACTTGGCAGATTTTAATTCCCTAGTATTTTATTTAAATAAAAAAATAATGTTACTTAATGCGTTGTTCGATCCCCTTCCGCTATAATATTTTATAGCGGAATTCTTTCTGCTAGCTTTATTATAGCGGTATTCCGCTATAATAAAATGTTAAATTTAATAAATGTTAAATTAGAGTATTCATTATTACAGCCTATCAAAGTCCATTGCTGCACATAAATGCGGAAAATATGCCAAATGCTACCCGTGGCAGGCAGCTGTAGTTTTTTTATTACATATTTTGAGATGTTATCAGGAAGATACTGCCGTCTAACTCCTGTTTCATTTCTGTATGTAGTCTATGACTCTCATGGGAAGATATAGGGGGTTTTCTTACACCCCTACTACATTGCATGTTTTCTTTTATTTAATGTGGCATATTTCAAGTTTTTAAGTTTCTTGATAAAGATTAAAAAAGCAGTGGGGGAGTAACGTTTTTTAATAAAGATTTTTTTTAAATAGAATAAGGGTAGTAAGTAAACACACAGTCCATCTCATTGTTAGTGAATGCTGTGGCCCATAGGCATCCACAACTGTCCTCGATTAAGAATCAAAATGCAAATGCGTTGCCACCCCTGAGGACTAAGTTCAATCGCTTCCAGTAAAAATGGGTTTCCAGTTTTCTATATTCACCATACGAAACATAACATCATTGTGCTGCTATTTGACGCTGTTATTCTGTGAGAGCATGGTCCTTCCCCGGTCGAGCCGACCCATTTGTGCTGCAATTATAACATAGATACAGCATGGCTTTACCATGTATAAGTATATAACAAAAAAGATAGCATATTTCAGTCTCTTATGATATCACTACTATATGTCTTGCACCTTTAACACTTCTCCCCATAACTATTTTAGAGAACCATATATAAAAGAACACTGCTTATTTGTTGATGAAGTGTAGAACAAAAAATTTCGATTGGGAAACCACTTTTTAGTTATAAAGTCGTAAAAGTAAGAAAGTTGTAAAGTAAAAAAGAAAATATATTATATCTAACTTTAATCTTTCAGCTTCTGGGCATAAGTTCCAAACGTCTGTGTGCAATACTTGACGGTGCCGAACCCCCATCTGATACGGAATCATCGAGCAGATCCCCTTCTCCAGAGAAGTTGGAGACCATATCACTGGACAGCATTTCCTCGGACGAGGAGATTTTAAGTGAAAGTAGTAGCAAGAAAAAGAAGGTAAATAAAATGTAAGATATATGTCGATCAAATTGGCGATATATTAAAAATGGGCCATATTAAGAGTACCCTTAACCGACGAGCATGTATGCATAGGAGGTATATGGATGTGGAAGAGGCGAGAGAGGTGTGTCAGGATCGTACTAAATAGAAGTCTGTAGTCTCTGCCTACCCCTCTGGGTGACAGTGTGTTAATGTATGTATGTATGTATAATGATTAAATGGATGATGCAGGTGGATGAACCACAGTATCCACTCAGCATCAGGTGGGCTGTGTTCTCATTTGGCACTTCACTTGAACAAGAAATTTTTGTTTTTAATATACCACTTTTCTATATCCTTACATTGTTATCCAATTCTGAGCTATGTTCAAAATAAATTTCAAGTTCCTAAGCTCATGGGGAAGTTAGTTTAAAATCAATTACAAAATTTTATCTTGCGGTAGCCATGTTTAACTATGACATTGGGACTTTGAACACCTCAGTCCCCCCTGCAACCATTGGTGCTGTAAAGTGTTCGAAATGTCGGGAATATAAAATAAGTTAATATACGATATAAAGACTATAAAAACGTTGTAAGAAAGCTATTTCATTATATTTACCACCAGCACAAACACCGCCATCGCCGCTCGAAATCCAAGTCCAAACACCGACGGAAGTCATCATCCGATGCGTCAGAGAACAACGAGGACAGATCCAAAGCCTCTCGAGCCGGTCTGACGGTTCTGGAACTACTTGAGTTGCAAGCTCGCGCGAGGGCTATACGAGCTCAACTACAACAAGAGCAAGCTGCTGGTAAGATTTCATCTGCATTATGTATGCTCTTCTTACCTTTATCATCCTCTGGATGTCCTATGATGATCTGGAGCTAACTGGTCCCATGTTTTTGTAAAAGTGTGCCAACTGCGTCACTTGCCTAACTTGTCGTAAAAGAAGAATGGGATATAGGATATAGGGTACCTATCACTCCTTTACTAGTACAGTCAAAAAGTAAAGTCCACAGAATAGAATAGAATCATTTTTATTCAATATAGATTAAGATTTATATAGTTTACAATTATATGTGGTAGAGCCACGCTGCAGCTATATTATGGTTGTAGCACGAATGGGTCGGCTCGACCGGGGAAGGACCACGCTCTCACAGAATACTTGCGTAAAATAGTAGCTTAATACTGCTGTGTTTCGTATGGTGAGTGTAGAGATCTGGAGACCCTTTTTTACTGGAAACGAGGCATTCCATCTTAGTCCAGGTGACAACGCATCTCCATTTTGATTCTTAATCAAGGATAAATGTAGATGTCTATGGGCCACAGCATCCATTTACCAACAGGTGGACTGTGTGCTCGTTTGTCACTCTTATTCTATAAAAAAATAAAAGAAAGCTTTTTGAATGTCATTTTTATATATAGCGGATATTTGCCATGGTCGTTATGAAGTATGGCATCTATGGCAAGTATCCCCCTTATGATGAAATCTTTGGGTAGGCCTATGTTCAGCAGTGGACTTTGATAGATCTTTTTTTTATAGGATAGGGTGACAAACGAGCACACAGTCCACCTGATGGTAAGTGGTTGCTGTGGCCCATAGACATCTACATCTATCCTCGATTACAAATCAAAATGCAAATGCGTTGTCACCCGTGAGGACTAGGATGGAATGCCTCGTTTTCAGTAAAAAGGATCTCTGGTTCTCTACACTTACAATATGAAACACAGCAGCATTATGCTACTATTTTACGCTCATATTCTGTGAGAGCGTGGCCCTTCCCCGGTCGAGCCGACCCATTCGTGCTACAACTATACTACTAAAATAACTGCAGCATGGCTCTACCACATATAAAAAAAGATCGTTATGATTAATTAAAGAAATGAAAGTTAAAACAAGGAATTACAAATGAATGCCTTACGGAATGTAATTATACTGGCCTTTTATACCCTTCAGACTGAAACACAGCAGTGCGAACACTTCTGTTAAAATAATATATATATATATATATATTTAATTCTAGTAGGTATGAGGATGATATCTACACAGATGGACTCCTAGGCAGAAAATGAGTCAAACCATCATGATGTTATAGAATTTAATCTTTAGAATATAATTTTTGCATTATATAGATTATAATTTATTTTCATTTTATTTAAAGCAATATATAACGATTTATGTATCGCTTATATAAATATAAATATAACGATATATAAATATAACTAAGTAATTAAAACTACTTTTACGGATTTTATCGCGTTTATTTTACTTTTAATTACTTTTATTTTTAATTCCCGATGTTTCGGGCGCTTTCCAGCACCCATGGTCACGGGGGACTGAGATGACTGACGTCCCGATGTCATTGTTAAACGAGTACCTTCAGCTTTTTTAATTATTGTTTATGGTCCGATCTATGCAAAATGAACTGACTATGTCCTGAGGTCTTGCAGTGGTATGCTTGGGTTTAGTTTTAATTTTGTTGATTATAGGATCCCAAGCAGGTGGTAGTCTCCTTCTCTATTGAAATTAGGATGTTTTTTAATTTCAATAGCCTCACGTATCATCCTTGGTAGGAATCGGTGTTCTTTCGCGAGGATTTGTGGCCTATCAAATCTGATGTAATGGTTGGGGCCGTCTAGGATATGATCGCAAACTGCAGACATCCCGGAACGTTGATGCTTGACATCAGCTATATGTTCTTTTACGCGGGAAATAATGAATATGTTAGTTATCCTTAAGGTGATTACATTAAAGATAACATATTCATTATTTCCGCTCACAAAACTTCTGGCATTCAGACAACATTACCGTACATTCATCCACGCTCAGGATTTGTGTCCAGGAGAGTATTAAGTGCGGTGAATACACGGCTAACAGGTGAGTTGGCGCGCGCAACTGTGCGTGCCCATAGGACGGCAAAAAAGTTATGCTTGCGAACATGACAGTAGTTATTTGGTACAAAACAAACGACACAGTTCGGCACTCAGAATAAAAATACTTATTGAAAGTCATTTCAGTTTTACCACTGATTCTGAAAAAAAAAATTCTGTTCTGGGAAAAACCAAACAAAACCGAAAAAAACCAGCAGGACTTTAAAAAAAAAACAAAATATTCAAAAAGTTAATTATGAAAACATTCAAAAACAGTATGGTAGCAATCACCTCATTCCCAGAAGTTATTATCAATCATGTTACTTTTCATTACCGTTTAGTTGTATATTATCTTGATGCTTTTGTGTTTAGCAGATGTAACAGAGTCCGCTTCAGCATCAGCAGCTCATCACACGTCTGATGATGAAGTGGAGATTAAAGAAGAGCCACCCGAAGTAGTTGAGATCAGTAGCGAGGATGAGAAGCCAAACATCGAAGCCTTGCAGAAAGGTAAATAGAACATGGGTGAATGATTTTCAATATGTTGTCATCATTAACTAGCTTTTACCCGCGCCTCTGCTCGCGTTTAATTAATAACTGACCAAGTTGTATTGCATAATGTATTTAATATCCTTTTCTTTAAAAAAATATATACCACATTATTTAATTTGATATTTAATCACTACAATATGCTGCAATTAATCTGTGGTATTTAATAAGTACTTTTTTTCAGAAATGGCACAAATGTTACAAAACTCGGCTGAAGCTTCAACCAGAGAAACACAAACAGTTACAAAAAAGATAAACGATCTTATCATCACTGTCCCCCAAACTAAAACTACACGTAAAATTAAACTAAACAGAAATAAACCGTCTGCTTCAGTTTCAAACGCTAGTAGTGGAACTTCTGTAGTTGATAAAACAAATGCAACACAATCGACTAATAAGATTGATGAAAAAGTAAGCAATAAGAACAGCGACAATTCTAAATCTAATAAGACTGACAAAGTACATAGATTAGTTGTCTCTGAAATTGTCACTGATAAATCACAATCGTCAGAGAAGATTTGTGCAGTAAAAGAGAAACCTAAGAAGAAACAGAAGAAGAAAGAAAAAGAGAAAGGTAAAAACAAAGAAGGAAGTGATCACGACGAAATAACATTAGAACTGTCGGATTCAGAGAAGATGGATCTTTTAGAAGATTTAGATAGGAAGAATTATGACAATGTATCAAGTTCTTTTACAGAAGACTCAGAAAGCAGCTCCGATAGTAGTGAAGAAGAAGTAGAGAGTGTTAAATGTGCACCCAAAGATAAAAATGTAGAAGTCTTAAAAACTGTGCCTAAAGAAGACGGTACTAATTCAAAATCCAAAGAGGTTGTTAAAAATGATAAGAAATATGGAAAACCAATATCGCCTTCCCATGAAAATATTCAAAATAAAGTAGGCGAAATATCCGAAATCAGTGATACAAATGAACATCAAGAAAGTAAACTAGATACTTGTGTTGAAATATTACCTGAGACTCAAATAACTAATGCACAACTAGGAAATAAACTTGATAGTAATATTTTAAGTTTTCCTGAGACTCAAACAACTGATGCACAAGTAAATAAAATTGATAGTAATATTGAAACTTTACCTGACACTCAAACAAATAAGATGATTGAAGTAACTACATTGGAAGACATTCCTTTACGCAATGACGCAAGTTTGCAAGATGTTACTAAAGACTTAGATAATTCTACGATAACAGAGAAAATTGTGAATTTACAAAAAGATTGTAGTAATTTAAGGGAATCTGAAGCAGATAAAGTCAATCCACAAAAAATGGAGGTAGATGCAGTTCATGCAGAGGATTCTAAAGTAAATACCGAGGAAGAAAAAAACATCACGGATGAGAAAATAGAAGTGGATAGCAATTTTAAAGAAAGCACAAAACAGCTTTCGGAAGGTGAAATATCGGATCATGAAAGTTCAGAGGTCGAAGCTTCTGACTTAAAACCTGAGATCGTTTGTATTTCCGATGAAGAAACAGATAGTAAAAAAAGTCACAAGAAAAAGAAGAACAAAAAACAGAAGAAAGTGAAGAAAGAAAAGAAATCAAAAAAGTCACAGGATTTTCGTAATGGCGAGGATGAAAATTTTTACAAAGAATCTAATACAAAAGTTGATAATTCAGATGTTACAACCAACACTCCGCATGTCAGTGCCGAAATAGACGCTGAATCTTACATTGATGATGACGTTTATGAAGTCTTGGAGCTTTCCGATGAATCTTCCTGCAACGATGTAGAAGGGACAGTATTATCTAAAGAACCTACAGCTGAAGAAATTGAAGCTCTTTCAGCTAAAATTGACGAAATAGAACGAGTGGAAGTTGTTACTGAAGAAGAAATTAGAGAACACGACCGTTTACAAGCCCAGAAGGAGGCCGAGGGTGAAGCAGAAAATGTTTCTTGGAAAGATCGGTATTTAGTTAGTAAAAAAGTTATAAAAGTCTTGTCTACGTCGAATATTCTTAATGCTATGAGGAAAAAGAATAAAGAACTTAAAAGAAAGCTAGAACAATCTAAAAATGAGAAGGTGGCAACATTGTCAAATATAGTGGAAAGAAATATAGAAGTTAATTTAGAAGAAGGATCCATAGAGCATTATAACACTTTGGAAGGTTCAACAAAGTATGTTGACCCAGTGCGCGAGGAAAAAGAAATTCAAGACGAAATGAAAGAAGTTACAGAAGGGAAAATCACAAAAGAAATGAAAAAGGATGCAAAGCAACTGCTTAAAATGTATAAGAAATTACTAAAATATAACGATATGAACAGACAAACAAATCCTCTTAAGAAGAAGAAAAAGAAACAGAAGAGAAATAAGGAAGAGAAACAAAAACCCGAAACAGTTCCGGAGTGAATAGTTCTTTATAAGGGAAATAAATAGTTCTTAAGTGGGAATAATTGGATGGTATACATTTCGATTGAAATACTTTCTATTAGCTGTTTAAATGATTTTTTTATAGGAATTGTACAACGATATACGTGGTAGAGCCACTGTATAACTATTTTATGACTGCGGCACAAATGGGTCGGCTCGGCCACGCTCTCACTGCATAACAGCGTGAAATAGCAAGTTAATGCTGCTGTGTTTCGTATGGTAACCGAAGACCCTTCTTACTGGAAACGAGGCATTCCATTTTACTCCTCAGGGGTGACAACGCTTCTGCATTTTGATTCTTAATCGAGGTTAAATATAGATGTCTATGGGCTATAGCATCCACTTACCATCAGGTGGAACGTAGGTTCGTTTGTCACCATTATTCTATGTTAAAAAACCATACTTATACTTATCTTCACGCACAATCCCTAACGGGGTAGCCAGAGAGGACAGATCGCCAAGTGTCACGATCCTTACATACCTCTTTCGCTTCTTTCAGGTTCATTAACTTCTTCATACATGCACGTCTAGGTATCCGAGTACTCTTGACCTTCCCCTCTTCGAGCAATTTGCTCACATGGTCTTCGAAAGTTAGTCTCGGTCTACCTCGACACCCTTTAATATTTACTTTCGCTCTATATATTTTCTTCACCATTCGGTCTTCACTCATTAGCTCAACGTGCCCAAACCATTGGACTACGCCCCTATCAATTTTTGTGATAAGGTTTCATCTTTCAATCCTGCCATATTGCGAATCTCTTCGTTTCGCTTTCGATCGGCTATGGTAACGTCACACATTTTACGAAGAGATCGCATCTCCACTGCATTCAACTTTCTTTTATGCTTCTTCTGGCATACCCAGGTTTTGCTGCCATATAACAAAGTCGGTACCAACACTGCGTTATGTATTGCAAGGCGTGCACTCTTCACCACGCCTTGCCTTTTGACTAATGCATTCAGGGTACCATTGACTTTGTTTCAGGCAGCGACGCGCCTATCCACATCTAAATCACATCTTCCATTGAAAGCACTCCCCAAGTATACAATTTCATTTACCTGTTCTAGACATTCCTGATTTACCCATATTTCACATTTCGTTCTCTCTTCGTCCTTTTCAAATACCAGAACCTTAGTTTTATTAGCATTCAAACGGTGACCTTTAATTTCACATTCCTCTTTCATACACGTGACTAATGCCTGCAGTTCTGCTTCTGATGGTGCAATAAGCACTGCATCATCAGCATACAGCAGACAATTTACTTTAATGTCACCCAATTTCACACCCAAACAGCTATTTTTCAGCTTCTGTAAACAGCTGTCGAGATACAGTATGAACAGCCAAGAAGACATGACACAACCCTGTTTTACGCCTGCTTGGACGCTAAACATGGGTGACAGGTCATGCCCTGCCCGCACACAGGCTTTACAGTCATAGTAAAGTGACTGCACAGCCCTTAGCAATCGACCACCCACACCATATCCCGGCAACAGTTCCCACATTTTCTTCCTTATAACCTTATCAAATGCTTTCTCCAGATCCACAAAAGCACAGAAAATCCTCTGTTTAACACTCAGAAGCTTCTCCGTGATCATGCGGAGAGAAAACATTTGATCCGTGCATCCTCTTCCAGGTCTAAATCCGCATTGTGCCTCCCATAAGAATCTTTCCGATTTCTCTTGCAGCCTACGTGTCAAAACCTTCGAGTAAACTTTACTTGCTAAACTGGTCAAGCTGATCGCCCGATAGCACCCGCAGTCAAAATGTGAACCTTTACCTTTATATAAAGGCACAATGACCGCGGATCGCCAATCATCCGGGCCACCTCCCGTCCGCCAGCACAAATTGCACAGCAGACGTTAATCACGTTCAATCTCTTTCATGCTGATGACCTCAGTGTCATCGAGGTACGTGTCTGGCGTGCCAGTCATGGCGTCACCCCCGGGTCCTTCACTAAGATCATGACACGCATACATTTCTCTATAAAATTCACTCCATCGCTGCATGACGTCCGATTTTTCTGAGAGGACGTCATTGGTTCTCGAAAGCACTTTGTTCATTTTTAAGGCTGTCGCACCACTCCGGGACCTTCCAACCTCTTTCCAGAAGAGTTTGGAGTTTTCCTTAAAGTTGTGCGACAACCTCTCGTCCGCTTCTATTCTACACCTTTCACGTACTTCCTCAATGTTTTCGCATGAACTTTCTGCAGCTTATATCTTTCTTTCATCTTCTCTCTCATATGCTTATCGTTACTAGAGGGCAAGTAGTGTAACCATGCTTTTTTCTTCTTTTTTTACAGCTTCTCTAACTTCATCATTCCACCATGCATCTCTTCTTTTACTACTACCTCTTTTTGTCGTTCCACATACTTCTTCCGCTGCACTTACCATTCCATCCCTAAGGTTCTGCCATGTTCTCTCCACACATTCTTTCCTGCCATCGATGGTGTCAAGCTTTTCGGCTACCCTCGTGTGATATTTGTCCCTAGTATCCGCTTCCTGAAGCTTCCAGATTCGGATGCGACAGACCGACTGTGGTTCTGTTACTGCCGTCCGGTAGCGCCAACCCGCGAACAAACCCCTAAATCTAGTAATTACTAGATAGTGGTCCGTTCCCAGATCAGCACCCCTGAACACTCGTGTATCCATCACCTGTTTTCGCAGTCGGTCATCCACCAGGATTTCTTCTTTTTTTCTTTCTCTGTGTACATATGGATTTTCTTGTGATTAAACATAGTGTTTGTCACAAGAAGACCCTTTTCCTTGCATACAGCCAGTATAAGCTTGCCAGCATCATTAACCCTTTTATCGCCAAACTTTCCAAGCACCGACTCGTATCTTGGTCGAGCGATACCTACCCATCCATTCAAATCACCACATACAACAGTTCTTTCGTTTCCCTTAACCAAATCTAGAACTTCTCTTACATTCTCCCAAAACTCCTCCAGCTCAGCCCTGGCGACGAAGCTACCGGCGCATAAACAGCCAAAAGGAATAACTTCGTCAGTCCCAGTTTAAAGCGAACCCAGAGAAGTCTTGAGTTCACAACCTTGTATTCAGTCATAAGATCGACCAATCGGGACGACAACGGCACCCCCACTCCCTGGCAGGCGTTCTCGCTTCCGGGACTCTGGACCATATAGCTAACGTCCCGCCATGGAGCTCTTCAGTACCTTATTACTGCCTTTTCGTTTGGTCTCCGACATACACACGACATCTAATTCTCTTTCTTTCATTATTTCGATCAACTCATTCGTCTTATCTCTCATGCCCCCTCTAACATTCCACGTGCCAACTCTGCACGCCGTCCTCCACCTTCCGCCGTGTCGGGCTGTGCGTGGTGGCGGTCCCCATCGCCGCTTTGCGCGCTGCATTCCACACCAACGGGGACGAGCTGGTGTGCGTCGCCTTGGGGGGACGCCCTAACTCCCGTTTGCATGGGTGCGCAGCTGTGTAGAATTGCAGCCCTAAAAAACCATGATGTCTTTTTAATTCATTATATCTAATACTTTTAAACGAGCACTTCTTGTGTGTATATATATATATATATATATATATAATCGGAATCTCGGAAACGGCTTCAACGATTTTCATAAAATTTAGTGTCCGGGGGTTTTCTGGGGCAATAAATCGATCTAGCTGGGATTTATTTTTAGAAAATGTCATTTTATCCGTGTTTTCAGGCAATGGAAAACTGCTACAATATCATTAGAACAAGAAGGTAAATTTTGACAAGGCTTTAATGATTATGATAGTTCGAATGGGATATCGGTTGGTCCCGAAATCATAGTACTCTGGTTCGATTCCTGTCTTCGGTTCGACTGTTTTTTGTAGTTACTCGTATCTTCTTTTGTGAGAAAATCTATTACTTCGAGCCCTGTTTTTAGAATTTTTTTAAAAACACAAAAATTTTAATTAAACTAATTGCACTCATGATTTTTTATTCAAATAACCAGTTCAGTTTTTTGTATGATGTCGGTAAGATCAATATAATTCATATTTCTAAAAAAAAACCGAGCAAGCTCGGTCACCCAGGTACCAGTCTATTAAAGTTCACTGTTCAGCAGTGTCTCCCCATCGATAGTCTTATAAAAGGATATTTGCCATAGTTGCCATGCTTGGTAGGTGGATTGGCAACTGTAGTGTTTTACTCTCTAATTGTTATTATTTTTCAAATTCATTTATTTTAGACAAAAAAGGTCCATGGGTTAGTATTACATTAATGCTTAAAAACCAAGTGTTAGTATTTTGAAATCAATTAAGCTAAATTATATTATTATATTTAGAATCAAATTAAATCTAACTTAATTAAATCAGTTAAAACTAGACTAAACTAAATTCTAATTTATCATGTACCTAAGAGGCACACCTAGAAGAATTATCATCCACTGTATAAGCCATCGTCCGTACGAAGTGCCTTACAATAGACGCATGCGGATCATCTGCCACCGTTCTCGGGATGCTGTGTCAAGTTGTCACTAGTTTTTTCCGAACTACGGCATGAAAACCGTCAGTTCGGGTCTGTGTAAACATGGCAGAGGCGCTACAGACGCGGGCAAGTGCCAACATTCTGAAAACTATGGAGTGGGTAAGGAGTACAGATTGTATAAAAAAGTGTCCGTGGGAAAGCGTTAAATAACGGTGGCGCCACTGATAGTTACAGTCTAAATTTTAAACAACTTTTTGTAATTTTTTTATTACACAGACTTTCACCATAACTCTTTTTACAATAATTATTTTATTGCTTTCAAAATTTTTATTTTCACAATCACTCAACGTATTTTACGGCGATTTTTTGTACCCTGTAGCTACTCGAGCGCTGTTGTGGAGAGTTTTTGAACTGTTATTTACTGCTTACAGATGGACACATTTTCAACTATTCTCCTATGGGAGATTAGCGATTTTTTGGCACACTCAATCCACAGACCGCCCGTGTACAGACCCTGACAATACGCTTTGAATAAGGTTATTTTACCCTGGTCCAAACAGCGAGAAAATCTATGGGCCAGCATAGTGCCGCGTATCGCCAAAACCCTACGCTCCCTCTCTATATCTAGATCATATTATATTATGAAGACGCTGCTATCCAACTTCAGGTTTGTCACCCTCTCTCACCTCTTCGATATCCACGGGACGATATGGAATAGTGAATATTCTTACACCGCCAATACACGGTAATCATGATATTTAAGTTTCTTTTAATATATATTAATGATGGCTAAAAATCTTCCGGTCTCCAAATAATAAATAATAAATAAATAAATAAATCATTTATTCTGGACCAAACCTTTTGTACATTTTTCACACCCACCAAACTGCGTAACAGTTTGTCGGCGGGATTAGCGCTTGTCTTAATACATTTAGTTCAAATACGTAACTATGTAGGCAAGATGTTCGGCTAAACAATACGGCGTAACATCAGCAGCAGATTGTTGGCCTACGAAACTAGAACTGTGTCACAAATTTCTGCATATTTGCATCTAACCTTAAGTACCGGCTTTCGTCAACCTGAAAATATGTTATCTGCTAAAGACCGGGTGAGGCGGGAGTTGGGGAGTCTGATACTGGACTCCAATAATAAAACTGATGCCCCATCTTCTGATTCAATACCTACGACCGAGCAGGTGGCAAGAAAGAAGCCGGGAATTTTGGACTTCTTAAAACAAAGACGGACTGAGACTGGTGTGCCAAATGTGACTGCTTCTGCAGTAAACATACTACGCATGTATATGGAAACCGAGATTGAACCCTGGGCGAGAAGACAAACGTACAGAAGTCGCTGGCACTTACTGGAAAACAAATAAACATTTGGCGCCGCTTAATAACATGGCTTTAAAATATCTGTCAGTGCCAGCGACTTCTGTACCTTCGGAACGAATGCTTCCGGCTATTTCTTATCATCGCGAAGGAACAGGTTGCTAGGTGATGCAGTAGATCAACTTTGTTTTATCCACCAAAATTATGATTTAATTATACAGCTAAAAATAAAAATAAGTTTTTTTATTGAATAAAGTTTAATAAGTATTAAAAAAAACTCAATTTTTTCATTGTCATATGGATCCTAAAAACCTAAGAAAACCGGTTTTTTTAAATTACTAATCGGTTTATACCGGTGCTGAAAGTTGTAATCGGTTGACATCGCTAATTGCTTCCAAAATTTTTATTTTCAAAATCACTCTCAAAGTATTTTACGGCGATTTATCATACCCTGTAGCCACTCGAGCGCTGTTGTGGAGAGTTTTTGAACTGTTATTTACTGTTTACAGAAGGACACATTTTCAACTGTTCTCCTATAGGAGCATGAAGGTTAGAGAACAGGAGAACGATCACTAGGTACTAAGGTATAGCCCATCTGTCCTTCAAAATTGTAGAATTTATAGCGGCGCTGACATCGGTGAGTAGTGACTGCGAAGTTAGCTGTTTATGAGTATAAATAGATGAAGTTTAAATTTTCTCAGCGGCATTGGTGAGAAAACTTTCATGCTCCGTTATTTTGTAATTTTGGACAAAAAGAAACCTCAAAAAATGGAGAAATATTTTATTGTGTGTGGATGTGCAAGTAGTGGTTTAGCATCTGATCGGAAAAAATAACTGAAAATGACTTTTATTGTCCATATTTCTGGGACACTATTTTCTACGGCGATCGTTCTCCAGTTCTCTAACCTTCCATGTATGAGATCCTTTTACGGAAAGAGGCATTCCATCTTAGTCCTCACGGGTGACAAATCTGCATTTATTCTGGGTGTGTATTATCTTGGGGTTATTGTCCTCCTTGCCTCTATACTTCATGTACTATAACTACCTATAGGTTAGTTATAACTTCTGAAATCATGTCTACCAAAGAGAATATAATCGCTACGTTTTTCTATACCTAGCCAAATGATAAATACGCTTTAAATACGTCCAAGACAAACTTCGGGCTGGTAACACTTTGTTGACTAGCGAGTATAGGCATGTCGATTCACTCTTAAAAAATCGATCTCTGAATCGATTCGAATCGAAGATACTAGAATCGATTATCGATTAAATCGAGGTTTAAAAGATCGATTTTCGATTAATCGCGACACTTTCAAACACGAAATTTCAAGAATTTGCGATTTTTTCTTTAATTGAACTTCAATGTTTTTAAAATTAAAATATTAGTAATCTTATTAATTAAAATTACTAATATTCCTTTTAACCTCTCCTGGTAAGCTTGAAACACTTGTTTTAGGGGTGGTTCGCCACTCGATCCCTTTTTTTACAAAGTAATTCCATGTATCACTTTTATTAGACATTTTAGGCTAAAAACAACAACAATACTTTTAACAAAAGGGCAAACTGCAACGTACATTTCTCGATCAATCTGTTTCAATCTATTAACTCACTATTTATCAAATTGAAATGAATGCTACACGAACACAATACTGGTTATTTCCTTACTATAAACCTCTATAAACTTCAACATATAATATTTATTTACAGCGTCTAGATATATAGAAAGTACTCCGTCTGTACTTACAGCTCACAGTATGTATATTTTTGATAATAAAGTAAATTCGCAAGTTCACAGTTCAAACAGGTTCACAGCTATAATATTAAATTATAGTATGTATATGTAGTTTTGTTCAAAGCACAGATTAAGTTAGACCAACATTCCACAGGTAAGAATAGAATTAGAAATTTAGAAATGAAAATGAAATTACAACTTTTCGATATTGTTGGATGCGTTCATAAATATTTATTTTATTCAAATATACGATATGTAACGTAATTGTATATTGCGTTCAAATTATCAACCAAGTAAGATCGGTTGTTTTTGCGTTCCCCAACAGCAAAAAATTAAAAAACTGCGGTATCTTAACCCAGCCAGTTTGGGAATTTTTATCGCTGGTTCTAGAATCAGATGAATCGGTCCGATTCGAGAGGTTTTTGGATCGATTCAGTGTATCGATGCGGTGCACCGAATCGATCTGAAAAATTATTTTGCTCCAAAGAATCGATTTTTCAATTAATCGATTTAGATCGACATGCCTGAGTGAGTAGCGAGCTAGCGACAACAACAACAGTTTATTGTCAAAAGTAATAAGACGCTTCGATTTGTATTGGTATTCAAAAGTTCTATTCTATTGCTCCCTTGTTTCATATTGCGATTGTGTTGTATTTGAAATGTTTAAAACAAGCTGTGTAATGAAGTCTGTGAATTAAGTATTTATTACTTCGTTTAATAAATTAAGTTCGAATATCCATTTATTCCACATTAATGCTTATTAAAGTGATGTTATGCTTTAAGAATTTGTGCAAATATTTGCTCAAAATATATTTTAATTTTTATTATGATCAAGATTATATGTTTTTTTTAAATAAGTAACAATTTGACAGATACATAAGGTGACTATATATATATAATTTTAATATTAATTATACTTAAAGCAAGCAAGCATTATTTCCTTGTGCTTTTAACACAATTAATTTGTATTAAAATCGGTTTCATTCTACAAATTTATACCAAGTTTTGGCATAGATAGAGATAGTATCTACTTTTTCCAAGTGTGGTCCTAAGTCGGCACAGACAAAACCTGTTGAAGCTGTTTAGACAACATCGAATTTTAAGTAGAGCAGAAACAGGACTATTCACCACATCTGCTTCTAGTTAAACTTGTGCAGATAAACTAAAAATGTACTTATTGAATTCCCTAACTTAGATTATAATACTTCTTCATAGAAAAGTAGTCTCTAAATATAAGTTTTAATGGTTAAAGGTGCTATGGGTGGGTGCGGTCGCATGCGACCGCTCTGGATTAGATGGACGCATGCAACTGCATGGGATTTTTATGGGGATTGAAGAGTTAAAACATAAATAACCATTTTGAATTTTTGTCTGTCTGTGTCTATCTGTCTGCACTAATGTTCGGAAGTACTGAACAATTGTGATGAAGCTTTACAATCAGATACAGATCAATGCCAGGAGTATATTTTATTTGAATAAAAGTTACAGCCTATATATGTCCCACTGCTGGGCACAGTCCTCCCCTTATTTCTGAGAGGGTTTAAGGGCACTAGATGGAGTGATGACCTGGTAAGATATGCAGGAAGTCGATGGATGCAGGTGGCTCAGGACCATGCTTTGTGGCATTCCTTGGGGGAGGCCTATGTTCAGCAGTGGACTTGTGAAGGGGTGTAATGATGATGATGATGATTAAGGGCAAGGAAGTGTCCGCCACGCTGCCCCAATGCGTGTTGGCGAACTTCACATGTCTTTGAAATGTTTTTTTATCTTATTCCTCAGACATGCAGGTTTGCTCACGATGTTTTCCGTCACCGCCGAGCATGTGGTAAATCAGCACTTGAAATTGCAATTAACAATTTCATTGGTGCCGGTGGGGATCGAACCCGGGTTACTTGCATTCTGTTATATGTAAATATAACTCGCTGTAAAGCGAGCATTAACCATCTGAGCTACCACGGCTCAAAAAAAAACTAGGTTGCTAAAATAAAATGGTCTTTATTTTAAATAATAATAATTTTTTATTTTATATCTAAATAACCCCTCATTAATATATCTCATCCAGGTGAAGGTGAGACACAATGAGATAAAAATTTAATTAACAGTAAATTTTTATCTCATTGTAAGCACAGCATAACATTGACTTCTCATAGAGACTATCCTAAAACATTCTAACTAAGCTGTTTGCTGTTAATTGTCCTGTAATTCCAGTCATAATTATGCAAATCTATCCACACAAATTTGGCATTATTAAGTGATAGTAGAAAGTAGTATTTGGACAATAATTAAAAAGTGTTCATTGAAAAAATCAACATGGAGGATCTGTGTACAACATGCTTGTGCGTAGGAAGAAATTTGGTTTTCATTGGAGAGACTGGATGCTACAATCTGTACTGTCAAATTTTAAGTGAAATTGAGGTGAGCTATTTATTATTAACAAAGTTTAATTATTAAGTAAATCAATAGAATAGTTTGCCTGTGTAGTGATGGTGTAAGATTATCCACTGCCCCGTATTATCTTGTGGGTGTCATTCAACGTGACACAGGGAATCAAATCAGGAGATGGGCAAGATCATCTTAATAATCACTAAAATAAAAGTACTGCAGTTGACAACAAGAGTGGTAGCTATGGAAAATATCCCGCTATGCAGCAATGTAACCTTGCGCCATTATTATATAATAAATTTAATAAAATTTGTATTTAACACATCATTGAAAACAATAGTATTCAATCACATTTTGTAAAAATCTATTAAACCTCTAATATGTAAATGTAATTGTAATTTTTTTGTGTTTATATTATTTATTATTATATGTATAAATCATTAATAGTTCAGGCAATCATACAACTTTCGAAATATAAAAACTACACATAGTAAAACAGTAAAAACACACTCTCACCACACAAACACTCATGTACGCACATACACGCACACACACAGACACACACGCGCGCGCGCATACACACACACACACACACACAGACACACACGGCGCGCACGGACGCAGCTTTAGAAACACGATTTATACATTGATATGTATAAAATCTTTTTTATTGCAGTAAAGATTTTTCATTTTTTAATCAAAGGGAAAGTCATATGCTCAGTGGACTTTAATAGACTGTAACGGTAAAATTTAACCAATAAAATAAACTTATATTCCACATGATGGTAAGTGGTTACTGCAGCCAACTTCAAACAAAGAATACATCAAATCCAGTAATTACACTGACTGTGTACCCTTAAGACAGGAACACAGCAGTGCGAGCACTGCTATTTGTAATACCAGTGACTGGACTCCACAGAACTAGTAATTTATTTATGGGGTAATGTATACGCTTTTACAACAAAATCTCAGAAAATGTACAAAATTTGTCATTAAATCAGTTTAAATTTCTTATTAAAGAAAAATTGTACAAAAAGCCAATTGTACAAAAATAACCTTCGGGAATGAGGTGATCGCCACCATGCTCGTTCTATAAAAGTTCATTCAAAAATTGTACAAAATAAATTTATTGTAAATTGAAATATGTTTAAGAAAAAAGTCCCGCTGGATTTCTTGCTGGTTCTTTCCAAGACGGAGGTTTTTTTTTCCGAACCAGTGGTAAATAAAAAAATTACTTTCAATAAGTATTGTGCACTAATCTATATTGAATAAAAAAATTGCATGATGAACTGTTTGTGTGAAAAGTATTCAACCACCTAAAAATAGTATTTTAAGCTAAATACCAACCATGTACAACCCAAGCGACTTAACTGTGCACCTTGCGCTGTGATGTAACTTTTATTTTTATAGAATAAGGGTGACAAACGAGCACACAGTCCACCTGATGGTAAGTGGATGCTGTGGTCCATATACATCTACATTTATTCTCAATTAAGAATCAAAATGCAAATGTGTTTTCACCCCTGAGAACTAAGGTGGAATGTCTTGTTTCCAGTAAAAACGGTCTCCGGTTCTCTACACTCACCATATGAAACGCAGCAGCATTAAGCTGCTATCACTTTGTTAATTGTTTTAATTCACTCTGGTACTCAACAACAGTAAATCTGACAATACAGTTTTAAACATTTATTTCATAGGTAAAGTTTGTTTCGTAGTAATAAATATAAACAAAAGACATAGATTAAAAAAAGATTAATTATTGCTACTAAACGCACAGCGTGAACGTGGGGCGGGAGTGAGAGAAGCTGCATGCCAGGCAAAGTGCAAATTCGCGCGTGTTGTAGTATCGGTGCTAGAATATCTACTACCCTATATCATCCCGTGGGTGTTGACAGAGGGAAACGGAGTTTTATATTTACAGATGGTTTGTGGAGTGTAGAAGGACATGGGTCTGCCTTTTATGTGCCTTAAGTACTCTTACTACTATTATGTGTATGGATCTTATTATAATCTCGGAAGCACAAATGTTATCAGTAGCTGATATAAAAATGTCGTTATATGCACAGACAGCAAGAGTTCGTTGCAATATATAGTTCGATGCCCCTCCGGCTACAGAGGTGCGTGTACGCTAAATTCTAAATGTCCCTTAATTGATTGTAGAGTAAAATAAAAGACAGAAGGAAACAAATCTGCAGATGGACAGCAGTGTCTTCCTAATACTTTGACTTCAGATTACTTTAACATGCTGTAACGGTAAAATTTATTCGACAATTGAATTTATATTCCACCTGTTGTTAAGGGGCTATTGCAGCCAGCTTCAGAGGCCTCGCAGTAATTATGCTGGCTCTCTATACTCTTCAAACAGGATCACAGTTGTCATCTTAATCCCCAGACTGACTAGATGAACTCTTAGGCCAATAAAGTATCCCACCGCTACCCAACTTTTTAGCTTACCATACAATATTGAAGTGCGCGTGTATTTGTATAGAATGTATCATACTGCCTCATTGGTCTAGTGGTTGTAGTAGTGTGCTTGCAGCTCATGAGGCCCCGGGTTCGAATCCCGGGCCGGGCCAAAAATCAATTATTGAGTTTTTTTGTCATAAAACTCAGGAGCTGGCCGGAGTCAGGAAGTTGGTGGTGACTCACCCCAGTGCCTCGGAAAGCCTGTCCCGTCGGATTATGAGAGTGAGGAAATAGGGAGTGCACCTGTGGTTGCGCATACACTTGGGCACTATAATCCTGTCCTGCGCCGATGGCTAGTCTCGGTTGAGGCAGGCTGCCGTGACTGGAATTCGGTTTACAGGACAATATTATAATACAGTCTGTTCAAATTCCTTAGCCTTAATCTTTTATAAAAATGTAACCCCCCACTCATCCTAGGTCACACTAGGATTTTCTCTTGTATATTGGAAGCAGTTTACATAGATAAATTGCACAAAGACAAACATCCAGACCTCAAACAATTATTTGTAGGTCATAGAAATACTTGTTCTGTGAAGGATTCGAACCCGCCGATCTCAACTCCGCAACTCATTCCTAAGCCACTGCACCATGGAGCCTTTAAAAACTGTATTTAGCTTAAAATACAATATTGAAGTGCACATGTATTTTTATAGAGCATTCAATACATACTGATTAAATTCTTTTATTTACACTGTAATAAGATTTCTGATGCGGTCTTCAGGTGAGAACTTCCCCATAATAATTTCAGAGGTTAGCTAATATTATATTTATGTATATTATGTCTTTACGTGGTAGAGCCACTCTGCCGCTATATAATAGTTGTAGCACGAAAGGGTTGGCTCAACCGGGGCAGGACCACGTTTTCACAAAATACCAGCGTAATGCTGCTGTGTTTCGTATGGCGAGTGTACAGTACCGGAGACCCTTTTTACTGGAATCCAGGCATTCCTTCTTAGTCCTCAGGGGTGACAACGCATTTGCATTATGATCCTTAATTGAGGATAAATGTGGATGTCTATGGGCCACAGCATCCATTTACCATCACGTGGACTGTGTGCTCGTTATTCACCCAATGCTATAAAAAATCTTATTGTCAAACACGATAATAAAAGGATTACGAAGGTAGGACTTAAAGCTTTTTGGTAATTCTTCCCAGTCAACCCAGAAATATTGTGATAGATGTTAAAAGTAGTACCTGTATTTACCTGCAGAGGCGAGGTAGACCTGGCAAACACACCGTCCTAGTGAAAATGTTTAACTAGAATTTAGCAAACATAAACAGTGGGAAAGATTTGTTCCATAACTTCCATAGTCACCATGATCAAGTCCGCCTTCTAGCTGTTTCGACTAAGGAATCTCTCTCTTCTGTCTAGATCGGACCAAAAATTAATATTCAAAAACTGAAGGTAGCCAGGCTAACTATGACATAGGGACGTCAAACATCTTAGTCCCCCCTCGACCATGGGTGCTGTAAAGCACCCGAAACGTCGTTAATTAAAAATAGTCAATTAAATGCGATAAAATCCGTAAATATAGTTTTATTCTATAAGGAATCTAGTCAGTAGTTACACACTTCACACTAATTAGGGAAATCTTCTGAATAACTGTTTAACATGCTTGTGCCTGGCGTACATCCGACTTAGAGCGGTCTGTCAACCTCCACGGCACGATTGGAAATTAAAATAAAAATTACTTCGCAACCTTCCGCTAACTAAACACAATGATGTGTCTTACCTGGATTGAAGAGCAACTCCCGCCCTCCCTCAATTGCATGCACTAACTCCGCATAGGTAGTAGTGGTGCTGGGACTAGTGGTGACGGAGGAGAACTAGTCGGGGCTGTACGGCGGATGGTCTAATAATTCTATGTTTTCTTGCTCTAAAAACTCTTTTGTTCTGTGTGCGGTGTGAGAACTCGCATTGTCGTGTTGGAGGGTGATGCGGCGGTTGCAGTTCTCTTTACGGAGTTCAGAAACGACCTGTGGCAAACAAATGCTAGCATACCATTCTGCATTAACCGTTCTTTGTCCCTCAAGAGGAATAGTCGTAACATGGCCGGTTTTGGAGACAAACGTGGCCACCATTTTTTTTTGCAACACTCCATGAACGAACAATTTTTGTTGGCTTTAACTCATTTTCGAACACCCAAACTCGTGACTGTTTTTTGTTTCGGGTTCGTACGCGTATATCCAGGATTCGTCACCTGATACGATGTTGTATACAGCATTTGAGGATCCTGCGTGGAATCTTTTGAGAGTTCTGACGCACCAAGTAACGCGAGCCGCTTTTTGCTCTTCACAGAGCGAATGCGGTATCCATCGAGAAAACAACTTTTTTACACCTAATTGTTCATGCAAGATTATTTGTATTTGACTCATGCCAATGTCTAAAGTTGCCTGAATTTCGCGGTATGTCACGTGTCGATCTTCCTCAATCAGCTTACGCGCAGCATCAACGTTTTCTTGGGTCAACTGCAGTTTTTGGACGACCTTGACGGGGACCATCACTGAACTTGACACGTCCACGTTGAAATTCAGCAAACCAGCGATAAATTGTGGTTTTGGATGGGGCTTCATCACCAAATGCAGAAATCATTCGGTCAACACACTGTTTTTGTGTTAAACCACTTCTTTTCTCGAGTCAATACCATTTTCTCAACGACTAAACAAGTTTGACAAAACCTTGTGACAAGACCGAGAATCTTTTTTTAAATAAATAAATGGTATTCGATTTTTAAAACCAAGGAGTTTTCAATTAAAATGATTTTAATATGACAGGAAAGGGAAATATTCCATTCCCGATACTTTTAGTGTAGCCTAGGTATTTTTATTATAATGGATTTCCGCAAAGTAACGCCTGATTCTATCAATTATCTTGTAAATTAAAAAGTATGATGGAATATAATGGAAGATGGGCAGTGTCTTTCTGATAACAACTCAAAATAACAAAAGCTGCCACCCACTGCAAAAACCCCGCCTGCCCGCGGTGGCAGGTACAGCAAAATACTCCCTATCAAGTAATCTACGAAAGAGGCGTATGCTCCGCAGTGGATTTTAAAGGCTGTATTGAATGTATGTATGGCAAAGGACTAAGTGGAAGACTTTTGTGTTTCCAGGTGTATGATACCTCGGTTGTATGTGTACGCGTGTGTTGGGAATGTCGTGTGGCACTCCGTAATTTCCAGCGCTTCAAAGTACGGGCGCAACGCTGCTACACTGAGCTTCTGGAGCATATTCAACAGCAGGTTGGTGACGATTTGTTTGTATATACTTTATGCAGCTGTAACTTATTACTTTATGCAGCTCTAGCACTGACCAGGAAGAAAATATCTGCCATCTTTTTGTCTATAAATCTCCTGTAAAAGTAGCATAGCATGTACACAAATAATTTTTATTTGATTACTTGGTGTAACTTATCAATCGGTTTTATTTTGTTGCTGGCTCTTTATGACTTTCTGCTTCTAGCACTGACCAGCAAGAAAATATGTACCGTATTTTTAAACAAATCTCGATTAGACTGTTATATTAGTTATTAAATATGTCTGGTCTTTGGGAAATGTTGACAGGATAATAATGTTCTCTAAACTGAATTTCGGTAACGGTGGCCAGTCTCAACGTAGACTAGCCATCTACGTAGAACAGGATTATAGTGCATAACGTATGCTTAAGGCTGCACAGGTGCATTCTCTATTGCCTCACCCTCATAGTCCAATAGGACGGTAATTTTGAGGCCCTGCCTGAAATGAACAGTCGTCTAACCAAGGTTCTAATGAGACTGAACAAGCCACAGATCAGGATAGTAACAAGTGCTATCACAGGACATGGCTCTTTTAACAAACATTTGTTCACCATAGGTGTTACTGACAGCCCCCTGTGCAGGGCATGCATGGGAGAGGAAGAAACGGCGGCTCACGTGTTGCTGACATGTCCGGAGGTGCCGGACACGTGTTGCTGCATACAGGGCTGAACATCTCGGCACGCCGGGATCGCTCCCCGAAGTTGCTTGCAACATCAAAGGACTGTTGACCTTCTTCGGGGAGATATCATGGATCGAATAATCACATTATTCCTGCCCACACGCAAAATACGCGCTTAGACGTGGAGTTGCGGAAAACTGCCCGTCGTAAACTAAACTATGACGGTAATCTGAGTCAACCGGGGAGAGATCAAACCCAGGACCTACAGCTTTACGTGCTTTCCGAGGCACGGAGGTGTAACATTGCCAACTTCCTGAATGCTGATGAGACTTTTGTGACCCCAGTAACTCCGACTCGGAATTCGAACACGGGACTTCATGATCTGCTGTCGGGTCTGCGACCAATAGGCCAACGAAACAATCTTGTACAGAATACCAGTTTTTTCATATGGTGAAAACAGGATCGAGGGCGACTATGGAATGTGCCAGACAAATTTGGCGCTTCAAATAGATAATATATCTTAATAATATGACCATAGATAATTAAATGTTACTAACACTATTGTTACTTTATGTCCGAAAAAATTACTTACTACTGATTACTAGTGATTTATTATATTTATAACACTCCATTAAACTTCATTAAAACTATTTTTACGGATAAAAGATATTAATATTACTTTGCAACCATCCGCTCAATAAAATAAAATGATGTGTCTTCCCTAGTTTGAACAGCACTTCCCGCCCTCCCTCAATTGCGTGCACTAATTCCGTCACCACTAATCCCAGCACCACTACTCTCAACACCACTATTCTACTAAAGACACACCGTCGACGATAATACGACACGTGTTTCGCCTCTACACGAGGCATCCTCAGGTGATGTTGACTCTACGACGGCTGACCGCTAAGATGCGATCTTAAATTGAGGGAGGGCGGGAGGTGCTCTTCAAACTGGGGAAGACACATCATTTTATTTAATTGAGCGGATGGTTGCGAAGTAATATTAATATCTTTCTTATAATGGATTTCCGCAAAGTAACGCCTGATTGTATCAATTATTTTTACTGATTTTATCGCGTTTAAATTTAATATTTAATTTCCGACATTTCGGGTATTTTCCAACACCCATGGTCACGGGGGACCTGGGTGCTGCTTCAGCTTTTTAATAATTATTTATAGTCTAAAAAGCTGAAGGTACTCCAGGTTAACACTGACATTGGGACGTCACTCACCTCAGTCAGGCTTCCGACACTCGCTCTAGGCCACGCGTTATATGCCTACCGCTCTGCGTATCGCTCACGATACAACCGACGTAGGGCCGCCGCACGCCAGCCCGAGCGCTTGCACCGCGCACGTTTCTCGCGCTTACTCGTCGAAATGCCAAAACAATGTAATTATTGTGCAGTGAATGGGTGTAAAAGTAAAAAAAAAAATTTATAGATTCATCTTTTTATGGTGGGCTTAAATTCCTACCAGAACCAGTTAATAATTATATTGAAGAATTAAAAAGAGCATTCTCAAATAATTTTGAAAACGTCATAATGAAACGGCCTGGCCCTCTGCTTTGCTCCTGTTTTCCTCATGATTATTTATTAAAATTACTTACGCGATTTAGGAAACTTGAGTTTGGAGGTTTTATAAAACTCCAAAGATATTTGATTGACAAAAATATTGTTAGTATGTATGTATTTCGCAACATTCGTTTTATAACAATAATCATCATAGGTAGAACCCTAGCGCATTCGTGCGATGACTTGCTCGCACGTGAGTCGCACGGCGGGCAACACTATCTCGACTCTATGTACGCGTATTTACGGTACATTTTCTTCTCGCTGCGAGCAGCAGATAATATTATTAAGATTTTGTAGGCTATTATAGCGTAAGTATTTTCGCTTTTGTATGGGAGTGATGTATCTGTTGGTAAACTGTTTATTAATCTGTGCCTCAGTCCCCCGTGGCCATGGGTGCTGGAAAGCGAAATCGACGGGAATTAAAAATCAAATAAATTAAACGCGATAAAATCCGTAAACGCAGTTTTAATCAACTATTATTAATAGATTTTTAGATGAATTTTTCCTACTCCGGTCAAATCGATTCATTTGTATCATACTTTCACGGAATGCTGCTATGTTACGTTGTTATCCTGTGAAAGTACATTGTTTCTTTTGGTGAGTGTAGAGAACCAGAGACTCTTTTTACTGAAAACTGGAAACTTCATGGGTGACAATGCATCTGCTTTTTGATTCATAATTGAGGATAAATGCAGATGTCTACGGGCCACAGCATCCACTTACCAGCAGCTGGACTGTGTGCTGCGTCACTCTTATTCTGTAAAACTGAAGGGTGACAATGTTTCATTTTCTATTACAGGATAATTCTCAAAAGTTATCACTCTGTAAGGACTCGAGTTTAAAAATACAACATGTCTTGAACATAAGTTACCCTGAGACTGTAAAGGTGGAAAGTGATCAAGAAAATGTCACAGTAGAGAACATCAAGACTGAAAACCTAGAAAGTGATATAGAAACACACTGTGAACCGGAAACTTTTGTAAGGGATCTAAAGCTGGAGAGTCCGAAGGTCAAGAAGGAAAGTATCAAAAAGGTAGGGTAGATTATCTTTTATGTACAGGTGTTAGAGCCACGCTGCAGCTATCTTATAGCTTAATGCTGCTGTGTTTTGTATGGTGAGTGTAATAATAATATAATAAAAAGGCGTAGGGAAGTGACGATCCCATCGCCCGCTGACGTGACAAAACCGCTACGTGAGCGCAGTCAGTCAGCACCTTGCCAAGAGGTGTTAGTGCCGTGCCTCGGCATAAGTTGAAGGTGCAAAGGCCCGCTTGTGCACATGGCCTCACCATGAAACGGCGCCGGGTCTGGGCGTCTCCCGTTGAATGACGTCCATAAAATGGATGATGGAATTCGATAGAACGCGCAAAGGGCCGCTGCCTGGGGGTCGCCGGGGCGCGTCTGGAGCTGGCGCTGGACGCGACAGCATGCGAACCGCCAGCCGAGCGCGAGGTGCTGCTCGACCACCTAGTAGCCCCTCGCATCCATCATCCCCAACAGCGGGCGTGGTGGCGTCTTCGCGGGCCCAGCAGTCGGCACCCGCCACTGGTGGAATACGCCGCATGCGTTTGAAAATCTCGATGAACAGCAACGCATGGCGGGCGTATTATAGGGTGAAAGGGGGAGAAATTGGAGGTTTTACGTATCGGACAAGGATGCATCGACTTTTTGCTGAGCTGGAGCCATCTGTAACCGTCACCGAGCAAAACCTGGCAGACCGAGTTCGGTATATCTTGCGCTCAAACATATTTGATGACGCCGAACTCGAACGGCTACGATGTGAGGTTGTTCCTTCATCGGATGAAAATGTTACGGCTGAGTATGCGGTGCCACAAGTTGCAGAACAACCCGCACACATGGATACCGCCGCGAATACCCCAGTGGTGGCTGATCCAAATGATGATGGAACATTCGCACAGGAACTAGAAATAGAGCAAATGAGTAGAACATTGGAAGAGGCGATTGTGGAAACACGCAGTATGCCTCTCGAAAATCGACCGCGACCTCCCCGCATAGCCCTAAGCAAGCGGAATCGGGCTGTCGTGAGGGCTCTGAACCAATGCTGGTGACCTATTTGGAAGCCAGCCGGGACCTTGCGATACGGACTCAATTCTTTTTGGCGCCGCGCTGGCAGTCTGCCGTATTATAGGCGCCAAGGTTTCCACGGCTGGACGCGCTAATGGCCAAAGTAACGCTATCCCATCATGGAGAAGCAGAATTGAGGAGCGTATCGCAAAGGCTAGAGCTCTCATCTGCAGATTGATATGCTTCAGATCAGGCAATAACAGGCCAAGAATTGGGCGCACCGTCAGAATGGCGTTTGCTGGGACAAATGTCAGTTTGTCCCAGCCGGATATAATGCAAAAACTGACGGAGCGCATAGATGATCTGAAGCAGAGGATCGCTGCTTGGGAAAAGCGGATTCGGCGATATGCCGAGAGGTCGACTCGGTTCAACCAGAATCGTCTCTTCCAAAGTGATCAGAAGAGGCTCTATAAATCATTGGAGCGATCAATGGTAAGTGGAACTGGCCCAGCACCAAATCAGGCCGACACGGTCGCATTCTGGCGCAGCCTGTGGTCAGAGCCTGTAAACCACAGCGAGGGCCCTTGGACGGAAGTTATGGCGAGTCAGTGTGCGAGTATAACGACCATGGGCCCCGTCATTATAACGCCGGATGACGTAGCTGAGTCGGTCCGTAGGGCCCCGAACTGGAAAAGTCCGGGCTCGACGGGCTGCATCACTACTGGCTGAAGGGGTTTGTGGTGTGTCACACTGTTCTCGCCCAACAGTTCCAAGAGGCTCTCAACCAGAAGTCGCTCCCGAGCCTCTTCACTACTGGGATTACTCATTTGGTTCCTAAAGACCAGGATACCACAGACCCGAGCAATACCGCCCCATCACGTGTCTACCGACCATATACAAGACACTAACATCTATTTTGAGCGCGAGAATTACTCGTCACCTGAACTCAAATCAGGTGATGTCGCGCGCTCAAAATGGATGTCGGGGTGGCGGTCGTGGAACCAAGGAACCACTTCTCAATGACGCGGTCATTGGAGAGTGGTGTGATGGGTTCCGCTGCCTGGATAGACTACAGAAAGGCATTTGACTCGGTGCCTCATACATGGCTAAAGAAGGTTCTCGACTGTACAAGATTGACTATACAGTTAGAGACTTCCTCGAGCAGTGTATGGGGCAGTGAAGTACGATCCTTTGTCATCGGGGGAAGTACGATCCTTTGTCATCGGGGCTAGCGGATGATGGCTGCGGAAAGCCACATACGGATAAGAAGGGGTATCTTCCAGGGCGATTGTCTGAGTCCAATCTGGTTCTGCCTCTCTTTGAACCCTCTCAGTACTTTACTGGAGAGCTCCGGAAGGGGTTTTCAGCTTCGGAAATGAGGTACAAAAGTGACCCACTTTTTTATTTGGATGACCTCAAGTTATTCGCCTCTAGTCGCTCCCATCTTGTGGAATTGCTGAACATCATTTGTGAATTTAGCAATTCTATTGGAATGGAGCTGGGGACGGATAAGTGTGCGGTCCTCCATGTTGAAAGAGGAAGGGTTGCTTACTTCTGAGGGCATAGACTTATCTATGCCCGTCAGTTTAAGGACCTTTTCCGAGGCTGAAACATACCGATACCTGGGTGTGTCACAGAATATCGGTATGGATGAGGCTGATATGAAACAGTCAGTTTGCGACGTGTTTTATGCACGCTTGACTAAAGTGCTCAACAGCCTTTTGTCTGGTGTGAATAAGACACACGCGTATAACGGTTGGGTCATACCTGTCCTCATGTATACCTTTGGCATACTCAGGTGGACTCAGACTGAACTTAACGCCCTGCGGCTGCAGTCTCGACATAGATAACGATCACTTTACAACCAATATTTGTTGTTAAGTTTTTGGTAGTCTGTACTGTCAAAGCGATCGGTACCGATCGTAAACTTTACAATTATTTGTTATGTTTGCTATTATTTTAACTACCATTTTTGACAGCCCGCTAAGTGTTCGTTACGATCATAAGTTGTTTCACAGTTTTATAAATAATCTTTATCTATTATAATATAAGGTTATAATAAAAGTATTAAGTAATTATGGCGGAATCGTATTTAGCATGGGTTTTGTTAGAAAACAAATTGTCTACATAAATTTGTTTTTATAAGTATGAGTTTTACCCCTTTGTACTTTGAGCGCTGTCACGTCATTTAATTTAATTTTTGATTAAATGGCTGTTACTTTTCTATAAGCAATTTGAAACATATTGGAAAATACAGTCTTACAAACTTTTATGTTGGTACCATAATTAGGTAGAACACAGATATAAGTTGTGCTTCTTTTCCTTTTTTTGGTTTGTTAGTGCTCTTCTGACATTTTCAGATCTGATGAATTTCGGGAGATACATTTTTTTTCAGTGTTATTTTTAAGCTATAGTATTGAGAAAAGAGGTCAAAACCACAAAACTTTTCATAGCACTTGTAATTGAATGTTGCTATGTATTATATGCTTGTCCTTAGGTTTTTCTTTACCCTATTTTTACCGCCTATGTCCACTTAGCCCTTCAATTATCATGTTCATAAGTAATCTAATATCAAAAGCTTAGTCAAAATAATGTGGGATCAACAGGTATTAAGGCTTATCTTCCCCTTATTATTGATAGTAAAAAGTGTTATTGGATACATTTCCCTGAGCAGTTTAAGTGAAAAAGTTTAAATTATACTCATTAGTCTTAAGGGCTTAGATAGATAGATTAGATATATTAGATTATATTTTTATTGCACCTAGTTACACTCCAGAACATCATCAATAATAAATAAATCTATTTATTATTTATTAGCACAAAAAGTACACTCCTAACTAAGTTTATTTTAAATTATTTTAGGTGTGTGACCCAGACCTGTTAATTTTGAACATCAATGCTAAATGGCCAGGAGGTAGACACGAGCAGCCTGCGCCTGCGTCACTGTCCCCCACCATTGAAAATTTTATATAAACTATATTTTATATATTAAAATATATGATATGTTTTATAAAATGTGTAACATAAAATAAATGATATGTAGGTAATGTCAACGTTGTCAAATCGAGACAGACATGTAATAGTGTTGCAAAGAGGCAAACTTTTATGTCCTTTGATATTTAACAAGTTAGTTCAATTCTTAGAAACGGTAAAAGCTACTTGTAAAATACATGAAAAATATTTTTATAAGGAAAGGTTTCTTCTATTTCTGTACAATTTTCAAAGAAAAGCAATTATTTTAATAAAATAATGTCTGCAAATTTTCCCTATTATTTGTTAACAGCCAACATTTTTTTAAGAAAACCCGCACTATGAATACGTTTTTCGTTAGCGTAACAACAACATAATTAACGATCTTGCACGGAATTTCGGCTGTAGAGACTTGCATTTATTGTAAGCATCGTTACGGCAAGCAATTATTGTTGTTATTATTTAGCGATCGGTAGTTTGCGATGGAGTCGCTATCTATGTCGAGACTGCAGCCGCAGAAAAGTCCGCACTGCTATGACGGCCCATAGTATGCATCATCCGAGATCGTCGGTTATAAGGCTGTACTTGCCGGGAAAGCATGGTGGGCGTGGATTTTTGAGCGCGCTCACAATGCGTAATCGCGAAGTGTGCAGCCTCCGTAATTACTTCCTGGCGAGATCGGATGATCCATTCTATAAGGACGTCATTTTTTGTGATAAAGGACTTACCCCTCTATCCTTAGCTAACGAGCAATGGCTAGACCCGGCAATGCAGTGCATTTCCGACCGGGAGACCGTATGGAAGGAGAAGGAGCTCCACGGCAGGTTCTACAAGACTCTACATGAGCCTTTCGTAGACACAGTAGCCTCCCACCACTGGCTACGCTTTGGTGACCTCTTCGGGGAAACCGAGGGTTTTGTCTGTGCTATACAGGATCAGGTTATTAAGACCAACAACTACCGGAGATACATCCTAAAGGATGGCACCGTCGACATCTGTCGAGCTTGTCGCCATCCCGGTGAGTCACTTAGGCATGTCATCTCCGGTTGCTCGGTGCTTTCTAACTCTTAGTTCATTCATTCATTTAACTATTTTAAATATTAGAATAGATACTTTCATCCAATGGAGTCTAAAAACGATAACGTTAGAATTTTGAAGGACCTAAGTATTAAACGTAGTAACATTAAAGGTCGTTTAACTAGATTTAAAAATTATATCTATGAAGTACAAGCCCAAGATAGTTTATCTACTTAGATATACGAAAAATTGAGATGAAATTATCTAGATCTGAGGATTTATTCAAATAGTTCGACGAGTTGCAGACACAAATCGAGTCGTTACAGGTCCCCTCCATAGAATCAGTTAGCTTTATGCGAAACTATATTATCTTAATTCCTATCTGGAGGGAGAAGCTGCTCGCGTTGTTACTAATTTAGAAGTTACAGATAAAAACTATATTCAAGCCTGGAAACTCTTGTGCGAACGCTATGATAATAAGCGTCAATTAATTAATAACCACCAAACAGCTTTATTTAATTTTGAAAGCGTACGAGAGACCGATAAGTCATTGCGGTATATCATAGATCACGTCACCAAAAACTTACGCGCTCTCGATACGCTTGGATTAACTTGCACACTCTGAGTCTAACTTGCACAGGCACAACCTAGTAGCCAGAATTCTTCACCAGGAGCTCGCTCTGAAATACGGTCTCGTGGATCGGAAATTGTCGTATTACACGTACTTGCCGGAAGCCGTGCTCGAAAATGACCGCGCCAGGCCCTACTGGGACCGGGCCATCATCACAGACAGGACTATTCTTGCGAATAAGCCTGATATTGTGCTGATGGACCGGGTACAGTCAAGGATATTTTTGGTCGACATTACCATTCCGTATGACGAGAACCTCGTGAAAGCCGAAACAGATAAGCGAACAAAATATCTGGACCTGGCTCACGAGGTGACCGACATGTGGGGTGGTCTGCCGACTGAAATTATTCCTGTAGTCGTGTCTGCAAACGGGCTAATCCCAGTCAGCCTCTCGGGTCATCTGAGGCGACTGGGACTCCGTGATGGACCGCTCCCGGCTCAAATGCAGAAGGCGGTGCTCCTCGATACCGCCCGCATCGTGATACTTGCGTATGCCAAATATTTCCCGGAATCCCGGGAATTCTCGGAATTAAAAAAACATTGTTTAAGTAGTTTTTATAGGAGTAGGTAGAGAGGTATTTTTGTTATTTGCTACATACGGAAATAACATAGATATGCCAAGTATTTCCGTTTGTCGCCCTAAAATAATAGTAAACAGTTAAAATCTTTCCAATAAATAGTCGAAATAATGAAAAAACGGTGTGAAAAATGCACGAAAAATTGTTCCACAGTAAGTATGACATACATAATTCAAATGCATTTTGCTAGCCGATCAAGGCGATCAGATAGAACACTGTCAAACTCGTCGCCGAAAATATTTAGGTAAGAGCAGTCAATAGAAAATGAGAATTGTTATTGTAGGAAAACGCGGTGCTTGAAGGGGTGTGCGAGGGGGCGGTCTTAGTCCACCTTGTATTCTAATTGACTTAATCAGCTTTTAACACAAGATTGTATTAGAAAAAAACGGTAAGTTGCGTGTCGGATCACCTACAAGGTAGGGTAGCGGGACAGCACAATTTACGTAAACAAGTTCCCTGCTACTCAGGTTACTAACGAAAAATTCCACTTTAAACTTTTGTATATAAAAAATGGCTGTGAGTTGTGACAAACAGACGGACATGGCGAAACTATAAAGCTTCCTTTGGAACTTCGGAAGCCTGAAAAAATATGTATTTAGCAGAGGACAATTACTTTGGTTTTTCACTGAATGTCCTTTGTAGTAAGTAGATATTATAAAAATAAAAAACGCTTACCCAAATGTGGTAGGTAAATCAAACAAACGGTTTCAAATGTATATCCAGTCCGCAAAAAACAAATCAAAATCCGTAAATCCAAGCCAAAGTATTCGTGTCAGTAAGATTCCAGAAACCAGTTAACAAGTCAACGTCAAATAAAATAAGAAACACAATAAATCACACGTGCGTCCAAATACTCTACCAGCCGAAACAAGACAGTGAGTGAAGCCCGCTGTACTTAATGGTGGTTAATATAGCGCATAGCGCCATATTTTAGCGCGCTATCTCTTCATAACACATAGCGCGTGTTATGTAAGTAGTCGCCATGGCGCTATTGCGCTATGGCGCCTACTACCTGCGCATATTAATTCACTTAAATCAATCGACAATTTCAAAATCCCGGGATTTCAGGGGCATCATATCCTCCTTCAACTAAGCTTCTACTCATCCAATCTCTAATTCTTCCATTATTTGACTATGCCGATGTTTGTCTTTCTAATATCTTTCAGGAGCTGCTAAGCAGGTTGGACAGGTTACTTAACAACTGCATACGATTCATCTTTGGCCTGCGCAAATATGATCACGTATCAGAATTTCGCTCCCATTTAAAGTGGTTGACTATACGCCAGCGCAGAGATTTTCGAATGCTGTCCTCTCTGTTTTCAGTTCTTAATGATTCTTCCTCACCCCTTTACCTAAAAGAAAGGTTCCGATTCCGTAGTGACACTCATTCTCTCAATCTTCCCGATCCCGAATCCGTCTCCCGATCTTCACACAATTTATTACTGTCTACTCCTCTTCTGGGACCATTCTGGGTTTATGTCAAATTCTTTCACATTAACTTCCATCTCCCTCTGGAACAAATTGCCTGTTGACCTGCGAATAATACCTGCTAAAAACGTTTTTAAAAGAAAACTCTACGAATATATCCGTAACCAACAAATTTGAGTCCACTTACTTTATATGTTTATAGTTATTTGTATATAAATTTATGGATATATATATATATATATATATATATATATATATATGTATATGTGAAAAATGTGTATTAGTTATATTATTTATATGTGTAAGTGTATATAACATATGTGTATATATATATATATATATTTTATGTATGTGTAGCATGTATATTTTTGAATTGAATGTGATCATGACAACTTTACTGCCCATAACTCACTCTCTGTTCTACCTAAGGTTAGCTGGTAGAGAATGCCATATAGCATTAAGCTCGCCTTTTGTACAAAATCTTTGGTGCATTAAAGAATAAAATAAATAAATAAATATCCATGTTAACATCAATGTTTGCGGTCATTCACCCCAAACACCTCTACCTACTCCGACCACTGTTGATAACTCAAAGTAAATTGAAAAACTGCAGTTGCCAAACTGTCTGCCAAGCGAGCGACAATACATCTGCCACGCTGCAGCTACATTATGGTTGTAGCACGAATGGGTCGGCGCGACCGGGGCAGGGACACGCTCTCACAGAATACCAGCGTAAAATAGCAGCGTAACGCTGCTGTGTTTCGTATGGTGAGCGTAGAGAACCGGAGATCCGTTTTGCTGGTATCGAAGCATTCCTCAGGGATGACAACGCGTTTGAATTTTGATTCTTAATTGAGGATAAATGTGGATGTCTATGGGCCACAGTATCCACTTATCATCACGTGATATATATATATATATATATATATATATATATACATATATATATATATATATATATATTTTTTTTATTATTATATATATATATATATATATATATACATTAAGTGGCCTGATACTGTAAACTTTACTATTATAAGATTACAATGTTACAATGTATATGTGGTAGAGCCACGCCGCAGCTATATTATGGTTGTAGCACGATTGGGCAGCGTAAAATAGTAGCTTAATGCTGTTGTGTTTCGTATGATGGGTGTAGAGAACCAGAAACCCGTTTTAAATCGAATGAAGGCATTCCATCTTAGTCCTCAAGGTGACAACGCATCTGCGTTTTGATTCTTAATCATGGTTAAATGTAGATATCTACGGGTCACAGCATCTACTTACCATCAGGTGGACTGTGTGCTCGTTTGTCACCGTTATTTTATTAATAAAATGTGACATGTTTATTTACAGACAACGAAAAAGAGGATAAAAAAGAAGGTTAAGAAGAAAAAGCCGAAGTCTAACACTCCGACATACATAAGTGAGTCAGAGCATTGGTCAGACAATAACGAAGATAATGAAACGGCACAAAATCTAGAAGAGAAGTTGTTAGAAGAGAACAAGGAGATTGTGAGTAACCCCTGTGATACAGAAATAGAATTTGGAGATGGTTTAGAGAATCATCTGAAAGAGAAACATGCATCGGTGAGTTGTTATTTGAAACTTCCTTATTTTATTGTACTCTACACTGTGTTTGAAATATATATGGGACTACTTTCATAGTAGTTGCCATACTTCTTTTGTATGCTATTAGGCGAGCACTACGGTTCAAACATTACGCATTAATTACAGTCAGTTCTCCTTGGTTGTGATAGATTTAATCTTTCATTTCTTATGCCATTTGGATGTGGTATTTAATTATCTATGTACTGATTGCGGGGAGCATTGTGATGCATATCGCTCACAGTCTCATCGGCAAATATAACAGTTGTTACGTCATCCATTTGGCGTAGATTCGTGCTGTAGATTGTATAAAACACAGGTCCCAATACAGAATCTTAAGGTATTCCGGCTACTATTTTGTAAAACTGTAAGGTGCATTCACATTCACTTCTTTAACTTTGGAAAGTAGTTTGAATGAGTATGATTGAAGAAGTAAATACTAGCTAGCTATGGCGTATATACTTTTAGAGCCGAAAAGTCCTATATGTCATACCTTATCAAATGCAAATGCCTGCTGGATGTCTAAAAATGCCGATGAATAGTAGGTTTTTTCTTCTAAAGATCTTATTTTTCAAATATAAATTGAATTAATCTAATTTTAATGATTTTATCGCGTTTACGAAATGAAGGTACGTAACTATAAATATATGTATATATTCAGGGTTATTTGAAATATACGGCCAAAGGAGACAGTCCATTTCCAGCTAAGTCTTCCAGACCGAATTTCGGTCACGGCGGCCTACTTCAACGAAGATTACCCATCGGCGCAGGACAGAATTATAGTGCCCAAGTCTATGCGCAAGCACAGGTGCACCCTCTATTTCCTCACTCTCATAATCCGATGGGACGGTACTCCAACACGACCGGAGAGGGATCAGGCGCAGGACTAACGGCTTTACGTGCTTTCCGAAGCACGGGGGTGTTACAATGCCAACTTCCTGACTCCGGGCAGCTACTGAGAATTTCTTGATGGAAAAAATAATTGATTTTTAGCCCGACCTGGGATTCGAACCTAGGACCTCATGATCAGCAGTTCCACTACTACAACCACTAAACCAACGAGGCTAAGTCTATGTATACTATAAAAGTAAAAAATGTTGGGATTTTTTTAACAAAACAAGAAAATATCATCTTAATGAAACTAAATAATTTGGTAAAAATAAAAGTGCAATCCCAAGTTTTTGATGGTTTTACAAGGTGGCGCTCCTCCAATCACGTTAAAACGACATCTATGTGCCATTAGTGTTGCATGTTTTTGGTGAGAAGAAAATATTAATACCACTGGCAAATTGGTGAATTTAAATGATCAAAAATGCTTTAATATTTTATTTTAATTTAAATCCCTACTAGGGACAAAATTAAGCCTACGCTTCATACAATTTTGAACCGTTTACTTTGAAGAGAAATTCAGGGTAAATAATATAGACGAATTGTGAAGAAAAAATGAATTAAGAAAATCTCAAACATTCTGTCCTTTTTGTCTTTTTTCAGAATGCGCGGTAATTCATTATTTTAATTGATTTTTGTCATTTATAAATATCTAACGTGTAGTATAATACTACGCCCGCACACATTCGTAAGGGTCGCTCGATCAGCAAAAATGTCGTGAATAAAATACACTAAATTATATTAATATATCAGGGGTCTAATAACAAAGGCGCCTTTGTTATTAGACCAAATATATCACATTAAATTTGGGATAATTAAAAAAATAGAAGTCTTATTTACTCGTGTTTTAAAAACTGCAATAACAGTATATCATTGTTTATATATTTGAACTTAAGTATAAAATTTGTATATTCTTTGAAAAATTACCTTGTATTTACGTCATCGATTTGAGATAGATTCATGGTGTTGATTGTAGAAATCACTGGTTCCAATATACAACCTTGAGGCATTCCAACTGTTTTGTTGGATTTTATTGCGTTCTATTCTCTAACTAATTTAACTAATCTAACTTCTTTTAATTATTTAAGAGGATTGTGAAGTCGTAAATTTTAATACAAAAAGCGATAACGTTTTCCCTCTCGTAAACATAGTCTAATTTCTATAATTTTTGAGATGTTGTAGATATAATGCAGGTCCGTATGTTTTTATTTTAAGGAAATATTGCGTACTATGTAAGTTATTAGCATCTCAATATATATTGCCTTAAAAACTTCCTCGAAGATTATTTTTAATTAAACGAAACTGAATTACTAAAAAAGGAGAACGAACCGACCTAAATTAAGGTAATTAATTCTAATGAAACCAAAATTGTCCCAGTTTGTAAAGGTTTAGGCGGGTGAACACTTTATCGCTCGAAACAATATTTTAAAAAGAATATGTAAGCAATTACTTCTAACATTTGCAACTCTCTCTATCACGCAACGGCGATACGGAGCGAGCGATGTGAAACAGATAGCATTTTTGTAAAATGCCTACTCGCGCCGCGTATCCGCACTTCACAATTCTCTTATGTTTCAAGAGTTATGGTTATAGCATCCATGGTCACGGGGCTACTGAGGTGATCAAAATACTTATATCACAGTTCACCCCATCAGGTTGTTAAATATTAATTTTAATTGCGATCTACACAGAACAATCTAACAGTATCTTGAAGTTACCGTTGCAGCTTATTAAAGTTCACCACTCAACATAGGCCCCTTCCATAGATTGCCTCGTAGGGGGATATTGGCCACGCTTGGTGAGCGGCTTGGCAACCGTACTTTTATAATTTTTAACATTTAAATAATACTAGTTTTTACGGAATTTATCGCGTATATTTAACTTTTTAAATACCCGACGTTTCGAACGCTTTACAGCACTCATGGTCACGGGCGGGATTGAGATGTTCAACGTCCAGATGTCATAGTTAACCGCGGTTACCATAGATTAAAATTTAACTTTTGTTCCGATCTACACAGTATGAACTTATGGTATCTTGAAGTCTTGCAGTTGTATGCTTGGGTTGGAATTTAATTTTATTTATTATAGGATCCCAAGCAGATGGTAGCACCCAGCCATCTAATTTCAATAGAGAATATGGCTGGGTGCTACCATCTGCTCGAAACGTCGGGTATTTAAATGTGTAGTGTTCGCGTAAATATAAGAAATCATTTTTAACATTATTAACCATTCAAACGCAGAGCGTCCAAATTTGACAGCTTCGACATTCTGTCAAAATTCAAGAGGTCAAATTTGACCGCACCCACCCACAGCACTTTAACCCATAAATACTTATGTTTAGAGACTGCTTTTATATGAAGAAGTTTGACATTATATAATCAATATGAAATTTCCTATCCTCTAGAGAATAAAAAGACAGTTAGTCTACGGATATTAATTTATATGCTACGTTCATTACGTACGCCATTTTCATTGGGATTTTGTTGTATTGATTTTTGGATTTTTCTAGTGTTTTATTATAAAATTGTTATAAAAGTTTTTGTGTGAATATAATTTTACCTTTTTACGTAAATAATTTCTAGTAATATATAGAAATAACTGTGATTTTTTTACGTTGCCGATATCCCCTTGGTATGTTTGTTTTTGTTATCAAAATACGATAAAATCTTTTTGTAAGGCAGTAAAACCTGACTTTTATTTAGACCTCAGGATAGAGAATTTTGTATAGATTTTATAATGCCAAACTTCTTCATAGCAAAGTAGTCTCTAAATATAAGTTTTAATGGTTTTAAGTGCTGTGGGTGGGTGCGGTCGCATGCGAACGCTCGGGATTTGGCAGGCGCATGCGAATGCATGGGAATTTTATGGGAATTGAAGAGTTAAGAAGACGCTCATCGCTCAGACGCATCTAGTTTGTTTTCCTCTATCGTCTCTTACGACACCCACGGGACGATACGTGGTAGTGAAGCTTGAGCTCTCTATATGTAAATGTTACTTTAGATACAATACAAATATATTCCAGCCACCCCACGTCAATGGCACCGCAACAAGAGCACCCCGTTCCAGGGAAGTTTTACCGGACAGACCCCAGTGTGTGGAGTGCGGCAAGATATTCAGCTCAAAGAAGACCTATAGGTATCATCTCAAGTGAGTTTCCGTTGTTTCATTATTCATATTAATACTTATATATATGTATAGTTTATTTTGTGAACATAGGTTACATTGAATTGAGGTTTGTTTTAAAATTCAAAGACTCAAGCCGCTCAATTGCTTCTTCAGTACAAGCTGTATTAAAGTTGCGTAAGTAATTTGATTACCAAGTCAAAGAAGGGTTATTTTGCAATAACCGCCCAAATTTGCAGAGTAGTTTCAGAATCAGTAAAATGGATAAAATGGTCAAGAAAAATTAATGTAAAAATTTCAAACGTTGTGTCCTTTTTATCTTTTAAGTCGGAAGTGAGTGCTGAGTGCTAACGCATCATTTTAACTGATTTTACTGCGCACGCACACTTTCGTAAGGGTCGATCGGTAGGCTAAAACGTTGTTGCCCATAAATCACATTCAATTTGGGATAATTTCAAATAATAGTAGTATTAACTCTATTTTCAAAAACTCCAATAAAGATGTGTATATCATTATTTGTGTTTTTGGACTTAGGATTAAAATTTAGCTACTTTTTGAAAACTAACCTTGTAGACATGTGACATGTGTAGACGTGTGACGAAATATACTAGAATGATTCGGTCACAAGTAATGAATGATTGACACATCATGTATATAACCTTGTACAGCAAAATTGTTTCATTTACTGTTCCAAGTCTCCGCTATCATAGTAATACCTTGCAGGCACAATGATATCATTGTGATGTTAGTGACGCTGAAACTGGCTGAAACTTACTAAACATGAGACCGATATATCAAAACGTAACTAATAACGTTATGTTATCAAATATCATATCATATCGATAAACCTAAGTACAAAACCGTTATCACATATCCAACCAAAACCATATACCTAACCAACGTACGAAAACGAAACCGAGACGCATAACGCAAACTGTGGAACGATATCCCAAAACTGAAAACGGCCCACTAACCGATGGCCTTCGTTTATATTCATCGCTTCTCGTTCTTGCAACGATAGTTTAAATAAGTATAGAAAGAGATGAAGCGAATATGGATATCGTTGCGATGTTTTGGAAGTTATCAAACAACGGTGCACATTGCGAAATATAATATATAGCCAAAGCAATAAGGTCGAATTTTAAATAGTTAAAATTGCCTAAATTTTAACTTTGTGTAGTTGTGAGAGTTATCAAATTTCAAATGATCTTTAGCTCATTAGGCACAAGGCTTAGATTTGTAAAACGTAAAACGCAAACACTGGAACGATATGCCAACACGGCCCACGATCTAAACCGATGCGATGTCCTTCATTGATATTCATTGTTTCTTGTTCTTGCGACGGTATCATAAATTCGTATAGAAAGAGAGGATTTCTGTTTTGGTAATTTTAGTTTCACACGGTACGCAGTGCACATCTATATATAACTATCTAAAGCAAAAAGGTCGAATTTGGTTAAAAAAGGTTGAAAAATGGTTAAAATTGCCTAATTTTTAAGTTTGTGTAGTTGTGAGAGTTGTCAAATTTAAATGATTTTTAGGACAATAGACACAAGACTTGCATTTGTATGATCATATTATATTTGGTTTAGGCAACTTTATGTTTATGTTTTTTATATTTTGGATGGAAAGTTTAGAATTTGCCTTTTTATAGAAAGTAACAATTACGCACTTGGTCTTGGTGGCTCGTGCTCGTGCCATTCGCTAAGATAATAACATCCATTAAGTTATTAATTTTCTACGTTTAGTTTGTACATTTATTTGCAATATTTGTGTGTATTTTGTACATTAGGTAGTTGTAATTCAGACAATTATGTGTAAAGTGTAAATATAATATAGCATAGTATAGTTTAAGTTGATTTAGACTTAATCATTTTTGAATATAGACTTTCAAAATGTCGCGTGTGTGAAATATGGTCTCACTTCGATAAAAAGGACAATTCCGACCACTTCTTCCACCGGAGCAAAATCAGCGGCTAGTGCAAATCAGGTAAACCTGCGGTTAATAGAGTTGAATTTTGAAATTGAATTGAGAATTCGAACTTAAAACTTTTCTGCTAGTTCAAGCCTAGTTAAGTTTGAAGGAAAATCGCCAACTTAAATAATTGTTAATAAATAAACTAACTAAAATAATTTTCTATAAATGTATATGAATTAAAAGTTTATCGACTAAATTGGCGATATTTTGAAAATGGGCCACGTTAGAAGTACCCTTAACCGACGAGCATGTATGCGTAGATATATGGATGTAAAGGAGGCGAAAGAGGTATGTCAGGATCGTGCCAAATGGAAGTCCGTGGTCTCTGCCTACCTCCTAGAATACGATACCTAGAAATACGATAAAATAATAATATTAAAAGGAAATAAAACGCTGAGATAATAAAGTATACTACAAAATCATTACAGTAGAGGAAATCGACAAATTAATTAACAAACAACCCACAAAGAAAAATAAAATTAATATGAAACAATAATTGACACAAAAATCTACAGAATCAAAAAACTCTAACCGAATAAGCAACAATACAGAATAACAATCACCTGCCCTTCTTCCTCTCCCAATACGGCTTGTACCCGCGGGAGAGAACGACTGTAATCCTCCATCGCAAAAACTCTACATCTGTACATACAATATACGATCTCTAATGTCACCAGAAAGAACTGGCACTTCTTAAAACATCCCTAGCTAATATAAAATACGATATAATAGGACTATCAGAGGTACGAAGAATTGGGAACCACATAGTAGAAGATGAAGTCGTCTTTTAATTTTAGGTTTAGGATACTTTTTTCCATTGCACGTTGACATGTTAGTATTTTATTCCTTGTTTGTCTATTGAAGGTCCTTGTTTGGCAGCCATATGTGAGACAGGGAAGTACGCAGCAATCCATGACTTTCTTTTTTAAATTTAGCGGTAGATCTGCTTTGAGTACCTCTTTATGTTTCCAATACTTATTCCAGGTTATAGCAATTCTCCTATCGATCTCGTCTTGATTTCCAGAAATTTTAAAAGATGTTTGTTTGCCTAGGTAGTTATAGTGGTCTACATATTCAAGCTCTATGTCATCTACTTTTATTGGGTGTTTTGTGCTATTTGTGCATATCTTCGTTTTTTCGCTGTTTAGTTTTAGGCCTATTTTTGTGCTTACATTGTTAATTTCTTGTATCATGGCTTCAGGTTTTTTATTGAATCGGAGAAGATAACAATAACATCTGCGAAGCGAAGGTTGTTCAAATAGTTGCCATTGAAATGAACTCCTGCTTTATTCCAGGATAGGTCTTTCATAATGTGCTGTAGTACCGCTATGAAAAGTTTAGGTGAAAGAGGATCGCCTTGTTTTACTCCTCTACGTTTTTTGATCTCAGGTCCTGTACGATCAAGTTTAACTCGGCTTGTGCTTTGTTCATAGATATTTTTTATGATAGCTATATATGATTGTGGTATTTTTTGCTGTTTGAGAGCTCTCCATATACTGTCATGGGATATAGAGTCGAATGCTTTTACGTAGTCTATGAATCCGAGATATAGAGGTTTACTGAACTCTACAAATTTTTCAATTATTAAATCTAAGGTATGAATATGATCTAATGTGCAGAAACCTCTACGAATAATCCGAAATAACTTTGATATTAGTCATCAATCGAAAAAAATAGTGGTTTGTATAGATAATGTTATCTTACATTTACACGAATTAAGTACACATTTATTCGAAATAGTTCTAAGTAGTTTTATGAGACAAAAGTGGCAGGTATAATTTTTTGTCAGTATTTTTGCAAGTGTCTAGATGAAATGCTCTCGCAGAAAAGCCTCTGATGGATAGTTAGACAGAATCGAAAGTAATTTCTTTAGTGTTACGTTTAGTCTTAATTTGGCACGAAAACTTAATGATTTTTATTTTAAATAAAAAATATTTTTTAAAGTGTGAAGAAATTTAACTTTATAGTTATTAAATAAAATAGAATAGCTTTTAAACGTGTAGAACGTGATACACTGAACGGGAAACCAGCTCGACCCTTATTTTATTTTTTATTTACTTGGAAAACTTACAGCTAATTTACAAATGTAATATAATTATAACAAGAATGAAGGCCATTTACAAGTTTTCACTTATATAATAAGTGAAAACTTGTAAATGGCCTTGCATGAAGTATCTACAGTTGGTATTTGATTAAGGCCGCATTCGAAAGATATTGAATATGAAGGGTTGAATGCAAAGAAGGTTTTGTCTTAGAAACTGTTTCAGTGGCTAAAGTTTTATGTGTACCTATGTACCTATAGTTTTATATGTTTGTCTCTTTTTACTGTCGCTTTTTTATTTCATCGCGTTTCGAATAACAACAAATCTAAAGAATTTTTCACTTGAAAAGGGTCTTGAATTAAGACCCAAAAGTATTTTTATTACCAATTCAAAGAATTATACAGAGTTATTTTTTAATAACTGCCCAAGTTTTCAGAGGAGGTTAAGAATAAGTAATATGAACAAATGGTGAAGAAACATTAATTAAAAAAATCGAACATTCTGTCATTTTTATCTTTTGTATTGAAAGTGTGTTTTCATATTCGTAAGGATCGAAGCTGTAGGCGAAAACGTTGTTGCCCATAAATGACATTCAATTTGGGATAATTTGGATTAAAAGTGGAAGCCTTATATTATATACTCGTATTTTCAAAAACTCCAATAATGGTATGTCATTATTTGTATTTTTGAACTTGAGTTTAAAATTAGGCTACTCTTTGAAAAATAACCCTGTACAATTAAGGTTTATCTTTTGTTCCAAATCTCCACCTATATCATTGTGCCCACACGGTGATATTACAAGAAGATTTTAGTAAACACCGAGAACTATAGACACGGATATACAATGAGATTTGTAGAGATGAAGCGTATATACTAGAACAGATCCAGGGACTAAGTATTTAACGAGACTAGGTTGCACCTATTCCAACTTTTAAAATACTTGATCTCGTACTCGTATTTTGTTGCCGTAGACTGTAGTTACTAGGCGCTCAGCTCAACTCGGG